AATATCCTTCCAATATCGTCTCACTACTACGATGTCTGTTCATTCTTGTTGAATTCTTTTTTGTTCAAATACATGTCCCCTCATCTATACTCACCTCTCACGGCCTTCCCTTCTCATACTCCCATACACATTCTGCATGTTTGATTTTGTGATAGATTCTAAGTCGGTGGTGACTGTGTACAAATCATGATAGCAATATTATTGTTTCAGTTCTACTTTCACTGCTTAAGCTCTGTTCCGGTATGATATAAAGAAAGAAAAGAAAAGATACCGAAAAACATATCTAAGAAGATACTTTGGAGATATCAAAAGGCGAGAATTAGCAAACCCTCGAGAAGGTACATAACATCTTTGGACATAGTAGTCATTTAATTAATCTTACTACAAAGGGTATGGGTATGGCAGCTACAGGTTAGTCCTGACGGGGGAGAACCTCGGAACTGTAAGATCGCCCGACGGGGCCGGAGTCCCGTGCGGATCCCGCGACATATCTTGCTTAGTAACCAGTCATATGCCCCCGGGGCCGACCACAACAGCGCATTACAGCTCTTTGCTATGAGATAATCTCCTTATTTTTACAGAATCTTTTACTTATACATAAGAAGTAGGAGTTGAAAACGACAACCATGAACCGCATACGTAGTCTCATCGCCCGTCCAGCGGCGTATGAGCAACTGCAAGACTCCGCCGCAGACGACGCCGATGAGACAACATATACACAGCGACACCAGCAGTCTCCCTTTTCAAGATTACAGTATGGCATATTCTTCCTTCTCGGAGTGTCTATGCTGTGGGCCTGGTAAGTGGAACCCAACAGTCTCCGAACGCGGAGGAACAAGCTATATGTGTTGGGTCAACCATGAGACTGATGTGGAGCACGATATAGGAACATGTTCCTTGCCGCCGCACCATATTTCTATAGCCGGTTCCAGTCGGACGACTGGACAAGACTGCACTATCAGCCGTCGATTCAGTCCGTGTCAACTGTCACCAACCTCGCATCCGCCTATGCCCTAGCAAAGCTACAGAAGAACGCCTCCTATCCACGGCGAATAACGTTTTCACTGTTGATGAGCTCTGTTGTATTCACTGTTTTGGCTGTCTCGGCAGTTGTCATGACCGATTCCTCGCCGCGGGCGTACTTTGGCTTCCTGATGGTGATGGTGTTCGCCGCGAGTCTAGCCACTGGTATCAATCAGAATGGTGTCTTTGCGTACGTCTCTGGGTTCGGGAGAGAGGAATATACCCAGGCTATCATGGGCGGACAGGGTGTTGCTGGTGTGCTCCCTTGCATTGTCCAGATCTTCTCTGTGCTGGCTGTGCCGTCAAAGGATGGTAGCGTTGACCGAGACCAAGATCCCAGCATGCCGCAGACGAGCTCGTCGGCGTCGGCCTTTATTTATTTTCTTACGTCTACGGGTGTCTCGGTCATCGCCCTGTTGGCCTTCCTCTATCTTCTGAGACAACAACTCTCTCCGAGGCAAAAGTTAGTAAGAGATGACGACGAGTCCGTTGCGGATGAGCACGAGCATTCCAAGACTGTCAGTCTCTGGACTTTGTTCGTTAAGCTACGCTTCCTAGCATTTGCTGTGTTCGTATGCTTCTTGGTTTCTATGGTGTTCCCAGTCTACACGGCCGAAATCAAGTCCGTCAACGACCCTGCCAGTTCACGGATCTACGATCCTAGTGTCTTTGTTCCCTTGGCATTTCTCCTTTGGAACCTTGGCGACTTGGCCGGGAGAATGTGTGTGGCTATCCCAGGGGTGTCTTTGGGACAGCATCCTCAGGTGGCTGCCATTGTGGCCATTGCTCGTGTTGTTTTCATTCCCATGTACCAGCTCTGCAACGTCAACGGTCAAGGGGCTGCCGTCAATAGTGACGTTTTCTATTTCCTTGTACAGTTCTTCTTTGGTGCAACCAATGGGTACCTGGGGACAAGCTGTATGATGGGTGCTAGTCACTGGGTTGTTGCCGATGAAAGGCCGGCCGCTGGTGGATTTATGAGCATGGTCCTTGTTGGTGGACTGGCTGCTGGGAGCTTGTTGAGTTTCTCTGTTGCCAGTGGTTGATTTCGATGCCATATAGTTTGTGTTTATCTAATAGACCCAAATATAACGAATGACGAGCCATGAAATTCTTCCATTACTTGATCTTAGGATGAGTACCCCTTTGTTTGGTGATCCATTGAGCCCTTTAATGTAGCCCTATTTTCCGTTTGACTGGGATAGCCCTAACTTGAGACTCCAAGTCGAAGTTTGCCGGCTGTCACCTTCGCGGTTTCAATCGCTTTCAAATACACATTTGGGACTCTAAACCATCTCCTTTAATCAATTCCCACAGAGTTTTACGTCTCCCATCCCATTCCTATTGTAAGTTACCTGCTGTTTGCCCATCCCCTCCTCAGTTCCTTCATCCTTCACTTCTCCTCCTCTCTTCTTCCCTCCCCCACACATTCCCTCTTTTGATATCTGTTTTTCTTTTCGGTTGTCTCGCAGTAAGGCGAACCTCCTAAGGCGTCTTTGGTCTTGTATCTTACCGTCTCTAGTTACTGTTCATAATGATTTTCGATTCTTTGGCTATGGGCAGCTGGTGCCCTGCCCTAGCCGTCCCCTCCTTTTGGAATCTACTGAGTGGATTCCTTGCCTTGGTGAGTCCTGACATAGAAGAAAGTACAAAGGAGTTTGTGTCTTATTTTGATCAAAATACAGATGTGTGTTTACTACGTGGGCTGGATCACCTACACTCTCTGCTTCCACCCTCTGAGCGGCTACCCTGGACCCAAGCTAGCTGCCACCACTCCTTTGGTCCACCTCATCTGGGACATCCAGGGTAAGCAGCACTCGACTATGAAGCGTCTTCACGACAAGTACGGAGAGGTTGTTCGTATTGCCCCAAATGCCCTCGTTTACCGTGCTTCAACCGCCTGGAAGGATATCTACGGTCACCGCAAGAAGGGACAACTGGTCTTCATCAAGGATCCGGCCTTGTATGCACCAACTCCCAACGGTGTCAATGCGATTATCACGGCCAATGAGCATGACCATTCCCGCATGCGCCGTTTGCTGACACATGCCTTCTCCAACAAAGCTCTGGGCGAGCAGGAAGAAATCCTCCAGATGTACGCCGACATGTTTATCGAAAAGCTTAAGGGTCTCATGGGAGGTGTTGTGTCCCAGAACATTGACATTGCCTGCTGGTTCAACTTCACTACCTTCGACCTTATTGGCGACCTCGCTTTTGGAGAACCTTTCGGCTGCTTGTCAAACAGCACTTACCACTGGTGGGTTCGAATTATTCTGGATGCTGTCAAGGCAAGTGCCTACCTCAAGGTCTTTTGGTTCTACCCTTTCCTCATTCCATTGGTCCGCGTCCTCGTCCCCAAGCACCTGCTTCAGAAACGCCAAGCCAGCTTCGACCTGAGCGTCGAGAAAATCCGTCGTCGTCTCTCCCTGGGCGCCACTCGCCCCGACTTCACTTCGTACATAATCAAGCACTCCAAGGATGGAAAGGGCATGTCGTCTGAGGAGATGGATGCAAACTCCGCGGTGTTCGTTCTGGCCGGCAGTGAGACTACTGCTGCTCTGCTCTCCGGTGTGACCTACTACCTTCTGCGATGTCGTGACAAGTACGAGCGTCTGATCCAGGAAATCCGTGGCGCTTTCGACAAAGACGATGAGATTAAGCTGTCCAACCTCGTGGAACTCCCATACCTCAACGCTGTTTTGACCGAGGCGATGCGCATCTACCCGCCTATTCCTTCTATGCTTCCGCGAGTTGTTCCCGAGGGAGGAGCCATGATCAACAACCGCTACGTTCCTGGAAAAGTGAGTACAATATTCGGGTGCTGTGGTAGTGTCTGGAATTTTGTGGACAATATGCAAAGTACATGGAGCTCGTTCTATAAGAGACAGTTCCATCTTTGCTATTCCCATTTCATGGTCTTCTAGATACTGACAACAGTTCAATACAAACAGGTCTCCGTCTCCGTTTCTTTGTACTCCGCCTTCCATGCAGCCTCGCACTTCAAGAACCCCGAGGCATTCGTCCCAGAGCGCTGGTTGAACGAGTCGGACGAGTACATGGACGACAAGAAGGAGGCCTTCCAACCTTACTCCTACGGTCCACGCAACTGTCTTGGTCAACAGTAAGCACGCATTTCATTACTACCCACTCACTCCATTCGTGTTTTCGCCTGAGTTGTACCTGGCAGTGATTACTAACCTCTCTCATCTACAGCCTTGCCAACGCCGAGATGCGTCTCCTGCTCGCCAAGCTTCTGTGGAACTTCGACCTGGAGCTGCTCCCTGAGTCCGTCAACTGGACTGATCAGAAGTCCTTCTCGCTCTGGAGCCGACCTGAGCTGATGGTCAAGCTGTTCCGTGCCGGTGCTGGATCTGCTTTGTAATTCTTTTTGCCATTTAAGACACGACGCAACATTACGCAATTTCCTTTTTTAAAATCTACATATTTGGTTGAGACGTATCGTTGTATCAACCGTTGAAAAGCATGGGGCCGAAAAGCGTTTGTTTTTAAAGACTTTGCGATGGCGTTTCCTTTTTTCTGTCTCGGGTTTGCGGCTGGGCTGTTTGTTTCGTCCTCTCTGGGATATTTGAACATAACATACAAAAGGCTGGGAAAAAATGGGGTTAGGCCTTTTTTGCCTAAGATAGAAAAAATTCAGATATGTCAGAGAGGACAGAGCCGTAGACTGATAGATGGTTTATGATGGATCTGACGTGTTCCTCGGCAAATGATTTCATTTGATTATGCCTATAATTTGAGGTGAAAGTAGAGTCATGGACTGCGTGTAAAAGAAAATGTAGAATACAAGATATTGTATATGCAAGTCCCTTATGCCGGTGACCTATCCAAGGTAATGCATTCAAACACCCTACCCAAAGCCCACAATATGTAAACAAAATGATAACTCCTAACCATGCAAATTACAAAATCCTTATAACTCCCCAGTGTGCTAATGTTTCTCATATACCAAGGGGTCATCAGAAAAAGTCCTGTTCGCCCAGCCATTGCGAATCCATCGCGTAGGCCACCAAATCTGCGGCGCAACACATGTCTTCATGTCCATGCTCCAAATCGAGAAGTTCGAGAACGGCTTTCAGCCTGCCCTCCAGTGTTTGCTTGAGCCGGAAAATACCAGCCTGGACATCCTTAATCTGTCTCTCCTTGACGAGGGATTTGGTCATGTTTTGGTCTTTCCCTTTGCCTGTCTCCATCTTTGGTGTCATCTTGTTGGGCGAGCAAGATGCAAGAGCCTTTCGCTGTGTTTGTGCAGGCGATGCTTCCGGTTTGCGGTTCTTGAACAGACTCTGAAGCAAGAACAGTAGCCAGACTAAGTTGGTCCGTGGGGAGTACTCTGCCCAAATACCAGGAATATCCGCCATCTTTTCTGTTTCTATGGGGCAACCAGTATAGAGCGTTGCACGCATACTGAATTTTGAGGTTAGCAAGTTGCTTAAGAAAGCAAAAGAGAAGAAATTGGGTAACATACTATCGGTAGGTGTTTCTTTGCATAATCTCGTCTTCATCTTGACCAATAGCATCGAACAATTGCTTCTTGTCCAGGTCTGAAGACGCAACCTCCGTGAGACCGGTGGGATCATCGGTTAGGAGTAGATCCGCCCGAGAGAGGGAGTAGTCAATAATGGTAGTTTCAAGGGAGCTTATTCCAAATCCACTGGAGGATGGCTGGCGTGCAATATCGAGTTCTGTGGGGGGATCCATGCAGCCATCTTCCCGCGTAGAGCGTATACAAACATTTCCCAAATGAAGATCTCGATGTTCGAACATAGCATACTCCTCTGCCCGAGCCAGAGCCATGGCAACTCCCCAGAAGATATCATATATCTGGAAAATCGAAGACCAAGCGAACTTCTCCAGCTCACATCCCGCGTCATCCATCTCCACAATGGCCCATAGCTGCGTATCGGGATAAGCTCTTTTGTTGGAGGGGTTGGGGTTCATGCAGTCGTCTTTGGTCTTCTTGTAGTGATCCCATGCATTTTGGAATGACTCTGGGAAACGACCTTGAACAACATGAATCTCTCTGAAGCGAGCAAAGCCAGGGATGGGGTCCAGATACTTGAGCATCTTGACTTCAGAAACAATCTCGTCAATGGTGGTGAACTTTTTGGATCCGGGACCGCTCTTGGCTCGCAGAGGCACGACTTTGAAGACTCCATCGCCATATGATTTCAGTTTAGCCAACTTTGATTTTGAAACCATTGGCCTACAAGCTTCCTCCCGCAGATGAAGTTTGTAGACTTCACCGTAAGATCCCTCCGCGAGTTTTGCGACATCGAACATGTTTGCTGATCGCGAAGCCCATGAGCCGAACTTCTGAATGCCTTGCGCGGCAATTGGAGACAGTGCCTCACTTAGAATTGGACCAACATAATCGATGGCTTCGCTGTCGTGCACGACTCCAGATGACCGCCTGGGCGCAGGAATCTTCTTTCTTTCCGCTCTCCTTCTGTCGGAAGATGTACTTGGGTTTTCTCGACCTTTGCTTGCGGACTCTGACGTCGGAACCGGGGAATCTGATGTAATTTGAGGGAGAGTTTCTGGAGCCTTCGGGCATATTCTGACCTCTACCATCATTTCGCATTGCTTCGGTTTTGGCTTCGCCTCCGGGGAGGATTCGACGGAGGATTGCGTCGTCGGGGTGTCCGAAGTGTCCTCTATTGTGGACGGACTCGATTCATCCGAGGGGATTTCCACCAAGCTGTGCTGCTGTTTGCTCTCGGCCTTTGGAGGCTCTGCATGATTGTCTGGCTGGGGGGTCACGCTATCATCGATTGTCACTTGGGCTAGTTTCGCTTGGAGACTTTCCACGGGGTCGACATGTTTTCTGGATCTGGTTTCTCTCGCTGGGCTTCCTTGGTCAAATACTGCCCTGGGGGCATTTGCTTTTCGTTTCCCGTACACTCTGCGCTGAGCCACCGACTTGGGTTTGGATTGTTTGGGCTCCATTGGTGTCGCGTGACTTGAAACTGGCGAGGGTGACCGGGTTGGCATTATCGAGGAATACTTGTTCAACCAGTATATTAGTTTGGGTTGCAAATTACCTGTGTTAAGTGGGTTAGGGTGATCCTGTTCGAGAGAGTGAGGTTAAGAAAGATGATCTGGACCCGAAGTGATGGATCGTGTTGATGTTTAGCCTAATCGGGATTAGCGCAGGGTTGCTGCGGCGAAACATTCTGCCTTTGGGGACTTTTTATGTCCCAGGGTTATACATAGAAGAGTCGCTTTCAAGGCTCTGCTTTATTCCTACTGTCACCTATCAAAGTTGAGAAGGGTGACAAAATATCTTAAAAACAGGGATCTAAAAAGAATATCTGAGACCATTGAGAAGACTACTAGAAAGACATCACAAAGGCCGCGTCTGAAGACATCACAAGCCCGCAGACGCGGCCGTCTATTCTTGTATACTTCACTTGATATATTGATACTGTTTTGATTGAACTATCAAATGCATAAGAAATATTGATACGATTTTACTTTGATAAAAATATTTAGTATATCTTGGGATATGTTCAGGAAGGTACCAACCAGTCCGGGGAATAGGTATAATTTAGAGTATAGAGTACATATATCAATCAAGGGATACATTCTTATTTTCATTTTCATTTTCATTTGATATTGAGACATATTGGACATTATCTCGCAGTCTTTCCCTTACATCGTACATGAAACGTGGGACTCAAACCTTTGAGGATCTGCACCCCCGTGGCTGTTGTATGGAGTCTGGAGTAAATAGGAGACACCTTCAAGTTCAGAAACATATCCCGTGTTTCCCCCCCTTTTCTCCGGATTTCGGGAAAAATCATAGTCATGAAATAGTTGATAGCCCAAGAGTCTAGGTACATGCAAGCCGGACATCCCTGAACGGTGAATGGCCCAAGGCCATCCACAGTGGACATCAAGCCGGGGCTGACCGGAAGTGGTTCCTGCAAGTCACATTGTGACGTACCGACTATCCCTATAGTCAAAAGGAATATGTAGAGTACAACAAGGAAAGCATAAAAAAAGCCGTTGGAATGATACATCCAATTTGAAAAAGAAGCAAAAGACCGAAAGAAAAAAAAAAGAAAACGAAAAGAAAAAAAAAAAAAAAGGTCAAAGTCAAGGTCGGAAGAGCACGCGCCTCGGGTTTGACATTTTTCCTGGTTTTTCATTTTCCGCCTCCCGCCTCTTCCTCTTACTCTCGACACTCGATCTAATGTCCTTATAATAATCCCCTTAAATTCTCGATGCTTGGGTATGGCGTTCAACTTCAACTGGTCGCCTTTGATGGCGGACGCGAGTTTTTACACTCGCGCCCAAGATCTGCTCACTGCCGCTCTTAATAAATCGCCAAAACCCCCCATAATCGTTGACGATATTCACGTCACCGAGTTGAACCTAGGATCCATCCCCCCTGAACTCGAGATTTTGGAAATCGGTGACTTGGCGGAAGATCGCTTTCGTGGCATCTTTAAGATGTCCTATACTGGCGATGCTTTTCTCACCTTGAAGACCCGAGTTCAGGCGAATCCACTCAATACCTTCCTCCTCACACGACCAACTTTCGGCTCGCCAGTACCTCTGGCTGCAGCGTAAGTCTTGACTCTCACTTATCTTTTCTTCAGATCCAACCTTTCAGATATATTTACTGACACTGTCGCGACTCTAGTACCCCGCTCACTATACCTCTACAAATCACCCTCTCCGACTTCAAACTCTCTGGATTCGTCATACTAGTTTTCTCAAAGCAAAAAGGAATTACAGTCGTGTTTCGCAATGATCCGCTTGAGTCGCTCAAGGTTTCCTCGACCTTCGATTCGATCCCGTTCGTGCGCGACTTCCTACAAAAAGAAATCGAAGCCCAGCTTAGGATATTGTTCATGGACGAACTCCCCGCCATTATTCATCGACTGTCGCTCCGGTTGTGGGTGCCAGAATATCGCACAGGGGAGGAAATGAATGACGAGACGGATAACACAGCCAAGTCAAGAAGTGAAGGCCCTGGCCAAGACCCTCTAGCAAGCCCGCCACAGGATCCTGTCGACTCCCTCGGAAATGCATTGAACGAGTCCGAAATCGCATCGCTCTCTTTGGATTCATCGGTCGAGACCCACTCCCTCTTCTCGCAAAAGAACCTCCTTCGCCTGGCCGCTCTGACAGATTCACAACGTACCCTGTCTTTGTTCACACCCTCGATCCAGGAAGTGGTGTACCGAGCATGGACTTCTCCAATCGATACTAGCGAATTCCCTTCGAGTGTGATCTCTCCACTGAGCCCGACTCTTTCGCGCACACACTCCCAAATGGGAAGCATGTCTTCCCTCCACGAAACCGCCAGCACTGTCTCAATGCAAAGTCGACCATCCATGTCTAGCCATTCATTCAGTACTAGTACCTACGGTCTGAGCCTGGGCGCCGGACGCCATTCCAAAGCCCACTCTCGGAAACGCAAGAAGCGTGTTGTGGATCTGCGCCGCCCCAAGACAACCGATGACGCCATGAGCGTAAGCGATGAAAGTGTTATGACCGAGTCGTCCAGACCCCCCTCTATCGCCTCCGCGCCTCTCCCCATCGTGAACGAGCCGTCAGATGACCCAGTCACACCACCTCTGTCAGCCGAAGTCGACTCCCACTTGCCGATTATTCCCGAAAGGCATTTGTCCAGCCTCTCCCGCCCAACACGTCAGGATGGGGACTTGTCATACTCCCATGAGACTATCCGTGGACCTAAAGCAGAGGATGTTGACGCCACACCTCGTGCTACTGTGCGTGGCTACCCTCAGGAGAAGGCCGAGCCGGGACCGTCTAGCAACCAGCGGCCCCAGTTACCTGCAACTGTTCTCCCGTTCAACAAAGACGAAAGGCCCAACGAAAGTGTCGATTCCGTCCTGGTTGAAAGACTGGCCGGTGAAATTGCTCGTCGGATGCGTGAGGACAAGCTTATGACAAATGCATGCAGCGGCTTCTGGAGCCGTCAGCATGAAGACAGTCCTCCCCCGGCCTATGGCCACTGAGCGCTTAGCTCGTCCCTTTCTTTTCTACGCTTGAGCAACGCTCGAGCATGACCGTTACGATTTCCTTAGTTTTTTTTTCTTTTCCTTACCGTTTCTTGGTTCTTTTGTTCCTTTTTTGAGCTAGACTGATATTTCTTTGGAGCGGGATTGTACAAAACTGGGTTCTGTCATGGTACGGCTGGCGTTGGATTCTGGGGGTTTCATTTTTACATGATACCACACTCTCTCATTAGCCTTCATTTTTTTCTGTATTGATTATTTTAAGGGGAGGTTATGGGGTACCTAAACAAAATGGGCTGGATATTGGGGTTGAGAATTATATGAGTTTCTGTTTCCAAATTGTTCTAATCGCGTCGTCTAAATCTCCGATGCGGGTAAAAAAGCTGGAGACAGGCGCTAGACCCGGGAGGAACTTAGCTCCGCACCGGGCACCGGCCATCTCTCGATTCCTTCCCACTCCTTTCCCTTCCATCCATCATACCAATTCCAATATGGCGGGCATGTTCAAGAACGTGTTTGGCTCTCAGGAGGCTAAGCCCGATGATGGTATGTTAATTCATATATCTCAATTGCTGAGCTGACTTTGGTAGACTTCGCCGACTTCGTGGAAGCTCCTAACCCGTCGCCTGCGTCCCTCCTCGCCGACACGACCACCATCCCAGCTGCCAACACACTGGCCGCCAAGGCTGTTCCTTACACGGCCTGGTACCGGGTATGGGAGAGGACATCCCCAAGCGACTTCAAGCAGGAGGCAATGATTATGCCGGTCATCCTCTTGATTGTCCTCTTCCACCTCTGGGGAGCGCGCAAGAACCGACGCAGGGCGAGGGACTGGGCGCAGGCCCACATACCTTCTCTCCAGAAGGAGTTTGCCGTCGTCGGATTCGATGGAATCGCCCGACCGGCTACCGCGGACGGTGATGCGATCACCGTGGAGCTCGCCAACCCCGAGTCGCTGCTGAAGGAGAAGTCTGCCTCTGAGTTCGCCGCGTATGCGACTGGCCGCCAGAATGTTGCCTTCCTCGACGTCGATATCAAGATGCCCAAGCGATACAACCCCATCACCTTCATCATGGAGTATGTCTTCAGCTTCTTCTTTGAGAGCTGGGAGCCGCCCGTTGAGAAATACGAGGCTCTGCTGTATGCTTTCGATGGCAAGGAGAAGGACCTCGTTCCCGTTTTCGCTAAGGATTCTGCCCCCGTCAAGGTGCCTAGCTCCACCTACGACGGCTTCATCTGGGCTGTTGTTCACAAGAGCCACATGCGCAAGTTCCGCAACGACCGTTACGATGCCTCTATCACTTTCTCCAAGGATAACCCTAAGCTCCCCTCATGGGTCACCGTGATGACTGAGAGTGCCGAGATTAGCGATACCCTCCTCACCCCGGAGTTGATCCAGGCCATTGAGCAGGCCGGTAACGACTTTGAGTATTTGATCGTCACGGATCAGCCCGTCGACAGACCCACCAAGTAAGTAGCCTCAATGCGAGACTGTGGACCAGATCTATTGCTAACAAATGTGTGCGTCACCAGGATTGACGAGACCATCCCGAAGAAGCGCATTCAGCTCGCTGCTAACCTCGCCTCCTCCGCGTCCGGCTATGCCTCCACCCTTCCTTTGTTCAACCAGTTCCTGCGCTTGTCCGACAGGCTGGTCGCCTCCGCTCACTTCCGTGGCGAAGTCATGCGTAAGGTCCGCAGCGTTCGTGAAGAGGAGATCAAGAAGCTGCGCCGTGTCGAGGAGGAAGAGAAGGCCGAGGAGCGCCGTATTGCCGCCGAGAAGGTCAAGAAGGATGAGCGTGAGCGCATCCTGCGTGGATTGAGCGCTGACGAGCAGCGCAAGTTCCTTGACCGTGAGGCCCAGAAAGGACAGAGACGCCTGGCGAAGAAGAGCACCCGGAAGGGTTAGATGGGTGTCTTTGTTCTGGAGGATTCTTCTTCTGTCTTCTCGCTCTTTTCTGTGGGAAAGATGCGGGTTGAATGTCTTATCCTACCCCTTTGATACCTTTTTAATTTGATGTATTCATATTTATATGTGGAAGATTTAATATCTACCATGAGATTGGGGATGCAATTTTCAAACGTTCAGCTATATTCAATGCAGATTTTATGTTCAGATCATTCTCTGTGTTTGATTCGGATCTCCACCTGGGCAGGAAGCAGCGAAGTAGATGCCCAGGTAGCCCTGCCTCCTACCTGGGCAACCTTGAAACCTCTTAACCTCACCTCACCCCAATTCAGCATCAACAATCATTCTAATTATCCTTATATACCCGTGGACTCTGTCCTGAGTCAGTCATTCGCCGCAATGCATTTCCTCGCTCTCTTAATTCTATTCCTTCTTTCGACTACAACCCTATCTCAAGCTTCTCCCACAGGGAAGAGCACCAGCATCAATACAACCGCCAAAACCACCCAGCTCAACGCCTCCAACTTACCCGTCGGGGCCATAATCACCCACTGTACCACTCCAGGCACAATCGCTCTCACTTTCGACGATGGCCCGTACATCTACACATCCCAGCTGCTAGGCACTCTCGCCCAACATGGCGTAAGAGCAACCTTCTTTCTCAACGGTCATAACAGAGGAAACATCTATGCCACCCCCGATATAGTGCAGCGCACATTGGCGGAAGGACACCAGCTGGGGTCTCATACGTTCGTTGATACCACCCGCTCTTCCCATACCCAGCCCAGCCAGTCCAAGCACCAACATATACTAACCAAATAACCATCCAGATGGGATCACCCATCACTTGACACCCTCCCATACGAAGAGATCGTACAGCAAATGACGATCCTCGAAGAAGCCTTCATGCGTATCCTAGGCTTCTTCCCGACATACATGCGCCCCCCATTCCTCAGACATACCCCCGTCGTCCTCGGCGCCATTGCCGATCTGGGGTACCATGTGATTGGGGCTAGTGTCGATACGAAGGACTACGAGAATGATAACCCTGATACAAATTGGGTTAGTTTTGAGAAGTTCTCGAGGGAAGTTGATGCTGGTGGCACGATTGTGTTGGCGCATGATTCGCATCAGCATACGGTCGAGATTTTGGTGGATAATATGCTTACTGATGTCGAGAGGGGGTTGAGTGGTAGGGTTTTTCTTTTCTTTTGTGTTAGTGGTTATGGGTTATAGCTAATAGTTTTTGCTTATAGCTGTCACTGTTGGCGAGTGCCTTGGTGATCCGCCTGAGTATTGGTATCGTGATGGAAGGTAAATGGTTGGTACGGGTGGGAGGTATGTTATCTCCTGGTTATTCTGGTTGATTGCTCTTTTTGGTCTTCATGTTTCATTGAACCTATAAGTTACTCATCAAAAGCCGTTCTGCAAACAGGCGCACCTGGCCAATGTAATTCCGGGGTGTCAACCTGGACCACCTATCGCATAATAACCGGCTCATCAATACAGGGTGCTAGCACTCGCGTAGAATGGATATTCCTGGACGACATGGTCAATTCACTAAGCTAAGAATAGAGGTATCCAAATTTATCCTATCTAATATGATTGGGCTGAAGGTACTTCAGTCTATGTCATTCGTCAGTAACTGAAGGGTAGATGCTGGGACCCCCGGCATTGTTGCACATGATTACTTGATACGAGACAAGGATACAAGACTTACAGATCTGTTTAACATGTCTCACGTTATTCGACCCTCCTTCATGCGATTCTTTAACTCGGCCCGATCCAGGGGCTTCATCAAGTCGAAAGTATAGAGGAGCTCTTTCGAGACGGACATAATAGCGCCCCAGTTGTCGAACTCGCCGCAATACTAGGGAATATCAGCAATTGTTTAACATGTTAGGAAGTCTAACTCACATTCGGAGCTGAGAAAATGGTCACTAGGGTCCGATCCTGGGAGAACTCATACCCATCCTTGACCATCATATGGGACCGGCACACCAGATCAAAGCCGTGTCGGTCCAAAAATTCCTTAGTGACATTTTTACCAAAGCAAAAGCTCACACCACGTTCATTAGGTATCCAGTCTTCTTCCACGTCCACACCTGTTGGGTCACTCCATAGAAGATCGTTCAGCAACCCATGATCAGGTATATCAGTAGGTCGAGCGATACCGCGAATATCGTCCATATGTAACAAACTAGGAGACAGTCCACCGTGAACGCAGAATATCTTGTCGGATACGATCGCCGCTATAGGGAGGCAGTTGAACGTGTCGATGAAAATCTTCCACATCTTAACATTGCAACGCCACTTGCACTCGTCATAGAAGCATAGGCTGCCCACTCTACCAACGCTGACGCACTCGTGGTTGCCGCGAAGTAGGAAGACATTCTCCGGGTACTTGAGTTTATAGCATAGCAGTAAGAGGATGGTCTCTAGGCTTTGCTTCCCTCGATCTACATAGTTACCGAGGAAAAGATACTCCGATTCTGGTGGAAACCCGCACGTTTCAAAAACTCGGATCAGATCGATATATTGACCGTGAATATCGCCGACTATCTTAACGGGGGCGGGCAACTTTAAAAGTGCTGGCTCAGAAAGGAGGAGCTCACGGGATAGTCCACAGATGGCGGTGATCTCGGTATTCTCAAGACACACCGTCTTACTGCGCTTGGTCGAATGTGTATTTAGGAGCCGAAAGATGATATCATCCAGGTCGATGGATTTTAGAGCGCGAATTGCCATGCCGGGAGTTCCTGATCTGTCCAGCGGAGCATTGAACAAAGAATCCAGAACGGGATTTAACTGGTTCTCTCTCTTGATTAAGATGGATTCACCGACTTGAGACGTTCCAGCAGGTGGTCCGCCACTAAGGGGCCCCTCCGGCAGACGTTCTACCTCGCCACTCTGCTGCATTGAATTCACAATCTTTAGATCTTGCTTCAGACTGCTTGGCAGGAATAGCGATAGCGGAGGATCAGCGGTTACTTTTGTTACATTTAACCTCCCAGGGGGTATGTGGAAGTGCCAAGGTACCCGGCCCAATGCGCTGCCCAACGCCCAATGTACCCCCCGGGTTAACAATCTAATAATCCAGAACTTATAGATTTCAAGTCTACATATACATACAAGTTTAGACGGCATAGAGAAAGTGGTAAGAGGCTGAATTTGTGAAAGCGACTTTTCTAGGTTTAACCTGGGATGTATATAAACGATACCTATACCTAGAATGTATGTGGTCTACAAGCGAAGGGGCAGTCGTAGAGCTGGAGATTCTTAGTACTATAAATATATGGGTTCTTACTCTATGTAGTCTTAATGAGCTAACGAAGTTTCCTGCTGCTGAATATAGCTCTTTTCTTTTAATTTAATCATGTTTACTTTATTTGAACACCACATCGCACTCTGCTACTCTGTGACTCTATGTACAATATATGGATATGCGCTAACCTCCTTGGCTTACTCCATCTACCTCCAGAGGTTATGTCATTCTCCTGCGAATTCCCACCTCGCAGTGAAACCCCTTTCGCAAGAACCCCTCCCACGTGTCAAACTTGTCCTGGTAGAGCTCAAAGTCGTAGCGCCGGGCCAAGCTCGCCAGCGCGAGCGTCATCTCCATCTCCGCAACATTGCGTCCTACACAGGACCGAGGTCCGTGACCGAACGGCACAAAGGCCTTCTTTTGATCTAATGTTAAACTTTCCCAGCGCTCCGGTCGGTATTGGTTGCTGTCAGCGCCCCAGATGCTCTCGAGGCGATGGATTGTGTAACTGGGTACCGACAACACGGTGCCGGGCTCGAACTTGTGACCGCAGATATCTACAGCGGGGCCATTAAAAGGGATAACGCGAGGGAGACCGAGAGCTGACGTGGAGTGGATACGCATGCCTTCATTCATGCAGGCCTTAAGACTGTGAGATGTCGTTAGTTCTCTGTCTTATTTATTTACGGGGGAAGAAGGAAGTCGTACTATGGGAGGTCCTTGACAGACTGGAAATAAACCTGGTCAGTTGGGGAGGGGATAACAGTGTCAAGCTCGGCCTGGAGCTTTTGAAGAACCCCGGGAGTTCTCAGAAGCCAATAGAAGACACTATAAATATTAGATTTGTCTGTCTAGACTCGATGTGGGAGAAGAGACGGGAGAAGCTACCCCGTAAGAGTATTTGAGGTAGTATCACTACCGGCAATGAGCTGGGTCAATGCCTCCGCGGTGAGTTCCTCTCGACCTAACGGCTGGCCGTTCACATCTTTGCCCTCCATTAAGCGTGCCAGGATATCCAATCGCTTATTGTCATTTGTTGCTGTCGACACAAGGCGTTCGTTGACCCGCGCAATGGCGATCCCTGCAACCTGTTCCCCAGAGCGGACGCCATGTCGCAGGAACGGGTCGGGCAGGAGATGGCCGATGGTCTTCAACAATGGCAGGCATCCCAGCACAGCAAAGGCTTCGCCACGCCTACTCAGCGCGTCGACGGCACGCATGTATTTGGAAGGACCGCCGGGATAGTCCATGTATTCGACCGTGTCTGTGCCGTTCTTCAACATGCCGAACGGAGCGCCGAAGGCAAGGTCTCCGATGGTGTCGAAGGTGAGATAGGCAAACCAGGGAAGGCAATCAAAGCGTGCAAATTTGGCGTTCGCAGGAGTTCGCTCGCAGATGAAATCCCACTGGCGCAGGAGCTCGTTCAGGTTCTGGTGCATGTACTGCTCAAACTGCATGACGCTCTTGGCCGCGAATGTGTGCGAGACAATCTTGCGCTTACGCGTGTGGTCAGCGCGATCCCGGGTGCTGAAGAGACCGCGCGAGACGGCGACGAAGGCGTCGTAGAAGTCACTATGTGGATGTTAATCATAGGGCCCGGGACAAACGGCGCGACAGTGGACCTCTTGCCTCTTGAGAAATCCATTACCATGACCGTAGATGGCGTTGATGGCGTCGACATTGGCTATCGAGACATGGTTGGGCTGGATACGGACCATGTCGCCATGCTTCTTGTGCGCCTTGTCGACAGTGAGATAGCGTCGACCGAATCTCGCTTCGCGCACCAGCCATAATCTAGTTAAGGCAGCCCATGGTGAGGCTGCGGGAATGTCTGACAAGCCCTTATTTTGGAAGAGGTACGCGCCGAGATAGTAGACTAGAAGAAGAGCCAGACACACTATTGGGGTGACGACGAGGGGAGGCGCAGCGACGATGGATGACAACATTTTGCCCGGGGGGGGGATGTATAACAAAACAAATAGAGACCGCCCAACACAAGATAGATAGGAGAAGAGCGCAGTTGGAAGAGATGTGGGATGAAGAGGCTTATAAAGAGATGGATTAAGAGAGTACAGTGATATCCGAGGCCAAGTCGGCCGTCGATCGTATTATATTACCCTCTTCCTATCTGTATGCCATGTATTAGACATAAAGCCGTGAGCAATATTTCCATCGTAGCAGAAATTGGTGAGTGTTACTTTATGTGATGTTCGGATATGTTCGTATATTGGGTATGAGCGGGGGAGAAGAGCGAGAGAGTAAGGCAGTAAAGGACATGCCCAGGCCAATTAGGAAGAAACACGATCTAATTGTGTTCTAGTTGGCATTGTTGCAATTCACTGTACTAGTAAACAAATCAGGACACGGGTGATACATCGGATGCTGCACCGGATGCTGCACCGGATGGTGCCCTGGGTAGTACAAGTTGCACCAATAACAAGTCCCATATCGATGAAGCTTACTGTGACTTTTTGTCTTGGGCTCTCTTCTCATATCATTTACTATTAAATCTTCTCATCTACGCTGGACTCACTTCGCCGCAGCACTTGATTAACCGGTGTTTTTCACGCATCGCCTTTCCCATTCCCTATACTTCTAACTACATCTCCAAAATGTCTGTCGATGCCCAGACCAGGTCAACTCATCCTAATCAGCAACGTCTCATCGACCTTGCAGGCGAGTTTTTCGCTGAGGTCGAAAGCCTGTGAGTATCTCTCCCATTAATTATCTTTGTTTCCCGTGCCACCCTCTGACATCGCTCGCTCAGCACCCCCGGAAAAGACCTTGAGACTCGTCTAAATGCCGACTATGGCCGCGGCAACCGCTACTACGACGGGTTCTGCGAGCTCATCAAGACCGGGCTCGCCAACGATGAGGGTTGGGTAGCGATAGACGAGCTAGATGGCCCCAAGTACCGCCGTTCCAAGGTCTCTTGGCCGAGCTCCAAGAATCGTTACTTTAGCATCACGACCGTTTACATGGAGAGCATCGATGAATACCGTGGCCAGTACCATGCCCATCCCTATGGTGAGATCAATTGTGTTGTCCAGCTCAGCCCCGGCGCCGAGCTGATGGGCATGAGCGGTTGGCAGGGCGAGGGCTGGACTAGCCCTGGCCCGGGCACGCATCACTATCCAGAAGTGAGGGGTGGTGCACTAGTAGCCTTGTTTTTCTTGCCCGCGGGAAGGATTAGCTATGATGCAAAGCCGGGGATGCCGCAGCCGCTCAGTATTTAAAGCACCAAGGAATGTATATCATTTTAACTCTTTATGAAAAATTTAGGATGATGAGCTGTTGAAAGTCAGATACCAAGTTGTGATCCCGGATATGATAGGTTAGTGTTGTTGGACAATACAAGCCTTTGCTGTAACCTGTTTCTTCTATTCTCTACAATGTTGGTAGAAAATATGTCTGACTAAAGCGAACCGGCCCAGGTAAAATCCCAAATAGACGCATCGCCTTCAAACTGGAACAGGGATCCGTATCCAAGCGATTCGTTCGTAGTTGTCATTGGGGGTCCGCCCAGGTCGGAACCAGAAGCATTCAAGATATCTCCGGAATGAAAGACAGATTGTGAGAATGAGGCAGAGTTGTGGTAGGCTTCGGATCTACCAGCAGGATCCGCTGCTCGTCCGCTTGGGGTAATTCCACAGCAGTTGCATGTTTTAGGCTGAGCCGCATCTCCGCCTTCTGTTGCTTCCCCTCCCAAAGCACAGCCATGTCTGCTTGCGTTTTGTTCCCCATGTTCGGGGATAATGGAATCTCCGGGGAGTGGACCACCTCCAGAGCCGTCAGAGTCCAAATGGAATAATCGTGGCATATGAACAACACGAGACTGTGACTTTGTCTGGTTCTGGCGTTCTGCAGCTGTTGAAAGTTTCTTCAAAATCAGGCGATACCGCCTGGCTTGCGGACTGTTCACTGCAAAGCAAGCGAGGATGTCGTCGGCTTGGCGCAGGGTTCGTGATATCGATTTCTGGGGATCTAGTTGGCCAAAATGGGCCGAGCTCAAGACGAGCACAGCGACAAAAACCCACGCACTAAAGCCGCGTCAATAATTGGAAACTCCCTTGAGATGCAAACTTTGGTTTAAGGGAGCCATGAAGGCTATGTAACTGACATGAAAAATGGCATGTTATTGAACAGCATGTTGGCTGTGAGCAATTCATGCAAGAGCTGTATAGTATACGTGGCTGAATCAATACAAGTTGTTGCACCCTGGGCGATTTCCGAGGAAATATCACTATTACTCCCGTTATTGGCTGTTCTTGCGCGTGGGTTTCTTGAAGACCTAGAGGGTGTCTTCGCCCTCAAGGTAGTAATCAAGAATGGTCTGGTGAGTAGCATCATGGAAAAGTAGTATGAACAAGTGACGTGAGCGTTTCGAAGATTGCGTTGTTGGATTGATTGACAAATTCTCCCATGAACTGTAGGTCTAGAAGATTTTCGTAACGACTTCGGCAGTATGGAGCACTTTTCCTGTAACTCCCGAGCAAGAGACTGCAGTAAGCCTAGTGACACTGTTCTTTTCGTATACACGTCGTTAATTATGTGTTCCATGACGAGGAATGCACGCGCCGACTCTGTCATAGATAGGCTTTGATCACATTCATCCTCAATGGGGGCACAAGAGTGTGCTTCGTCGATGTTAAAACTCGTATCAGAAGTAGAGGAGCTTCGGCCCATCATTGCAGAGAAGAACAAGTCGTGATAGCGCAAGGTTTTCCAGATCTGGGCTCTGCACGTTCTCAGAATTCTAATTTCTCGGTGATATAATGCTCCCAGAGTGAAAATCCACATACCTCTGCCGGCGTTCATTATCATCGTAGGCTGAATTTGCATCGGACTGATGGTATCCGAGAGATTTTGCAGCACCAATGGCAATTCCAAGGTTCAACGAAGCACCATTTCGCCTAGAGCATCCTAACATGAAGATGCTAATCAAAACGAATGCTTGCACAGTCTCGACACTGGGGTAGTTGGTCAGCTCAAGTAAGGCTATCTGTCGACCATGGTGGTAGAAAGATTGTGCTCGAAGGTTGTCAAGCATATTCGAGGAGCTTATCTGTGCCCCACAGGCTATGACCAGATATAGAACCGCCGCAGATCCACTTTTCATGGGAATGAGGCCGTTGATCCAGCGATGTAACAGACCCTCGATATGAGATCTTTCGAAAAGATCAACTATACCACATGTCTGGTTGATGGTCAGATATTCCTCGCCCACTCAATATTAATGACCAAAAAAGAATTGTACCGATATGAAGTAGACCCGAATAAGACGCTCCAATTCTTCCGTGTTGCCGATATTGTAAGCCGTCAAGTTATCAGGCGGTACTGGGGGCAGCTCTTCAATCACCGAAAGACCCGCGACATCTGCTGCAATAGAAGCGTATCCAGTCTCAGTTTCGATCAACTCTTGGATATTCTGAAGAAAAGACAGGGCTGCACAGTTCCCAAGGTATACTACGCAATGGCCACCGTTATCAGTTATCAATGGGCTTTGCGTACATACATACCAAGTTCTATTGAAAAACAGAAGAACCAATGTACCTACCGACTTTCCCCTTATTGTCATATAGGACATGTGATAATCCAGGTACTGTAACCTCTGGTTCATTTGTAGATGCGCTTCTACCGTGTGACTGCGTACACCGTTCTGTCCCATGTACCTCCGGTAGGGAATCTGATATCGCAGCTGATACTTCCATTTCCCTAATCGCTTGTGGTACAGTCTCAGGAGTACGGCGCATACGCCCCGGGCGGTTGCGACGATGACCAAATGACTGCTCATGCGGCGAGTAGGCGCAACTTGTCGAGCGATTGCGTCTCACACACTGTTCACATGGAGCTAACCCATCGCACTTCTGTTTTGTCATGCGACAGTAAACACACGCCTTGGCGGTTCGCTTGCGGAACCTTGGGTCGACTTTGGGCCGAGGCATTGCCGAAAGATGTGAATAGAAATTATCCCACTTCGCAGAAAAAGAGAACAAGAGAGAGAAATGTGGATGATGGGAGGAGCTCTGCCTAGGAGCCCTGTTGTTCGGAATTACGTAACGTTCAAGTCCGGTCATTCGGTCTATCAGCACAAGCTGTGTACCGGATAATAACTCAGATACCCCTGGCACAAAGGGACGGTATCATAAGGAAAATAGCTTACTGTAAGTCTAACTCGGGATATTTAGTATTAAAGAGACTAATTCGTATGCCTTATATATGATACCAAACTTGTTAAGAACATAAATATATCACCTACCATCTCTCTCATAATAATCAGGTACCTGAGCATAGTTCTTTATTTCACTCTCTATCCTGCATTTTATTCGGTAGTCCTTAGGAGCCATTCATTACCCTAAAACCTTTCTATGTATATGTTTACATGGATATCTCACTTTCTTTATAACATTCTCGAGTTTATCTTTTTTGGAATCTTTCGACGGAGCAAAAATAAATCTAAGTAGAATCGAAACGGGTACTAGGTTATCAACAGAAGCAGGCTCAAATATATTGTACTGCCGTAAAAAAATGAATCACTAGATGAGAAAGCATACTTTCTCCCAAGTCCTCAAGGCTTTGTGGCTTCTTTGAAACATAGCTGCTCTAATATATACCAGAATTTACAGCACGCTTCCTCCCTCATCTATATCTATATCTACCTACAACTTCCCAAAAATCTTAACCCTCTCCTCAACAGGCTTCTGCACCTTCTCCCCAGCATTATCTTCAGGACTCCCAAATACTAGTTGAGCAACATTCCGCCATTCACTGGGCAGATCCCACTGTTTGGCAACACCAGCGTCTATGAGCGGGCTATAGTGCTGCAAGTTTGCACCGAAGCCGAGCGCTTCAAGGCCCGTCCAGACTGGTAACCGTTAGATCGAGCAAAGAAGCGACACACAAAGAAGGAGGGGAAATGGACATACGGAAGTACTGATGCATAGCATTGGAGTGGTCCGCCCACGGCAGGAAATTATCCTTGTATGTAGCGAACTTTTCCTGCATGGGTTTGATGTGTGCTGGATCTTCGTAGAAGAGGACCTGGGTATTGATTAGCTATGGACTGGATACCTCGAGGTTCAAGAGAAAACTAAACCCGCGAGGGAAAAATAAACTACGTACCGTTCCATACGCTCCCTTAAACCCAAGTAACTTGGGTAACGTCTGCTTCTCCCACATCTCTTGTGAAATCTTACCCCCCTTAACAAGGCTCTCGAAGGCCTCGGTGGCAATATCCCACAGTCTATCGTGCTGATCGTGTAGGAGCACGACTAGGCGTGTAGACTGGGTATTGAATGCACTGGGAACATGCAGGATGGCGGCATTGACAAGCTCCTCGATCTTGGAGTCTGGGACTGGACTTTTCTTGCCGAGCTTGTAGATCGTGCGCCTGTTCTTGGCTAGATCGATTAGGCCGGACATGTTTGCTGGGGTTGAAGAGAATGAACGATGTGTTTGTGTTTGGGTTCGATATAGATGGGCTTGGCGGGTGGATACCAGGCGTGTTGGACTGGTTCTGGATAGTGCGCGGGCGATGGCGTGTAGGGGGAATTGCAGACGGTTTGTCATTTTGGGAGGTTCAGTGAGTTGTATAGTTTGATTCTGTGTGGATCAGTCGATTATATATGCCGACCTGAAGGCTCCCGAGGTCTCCAGGGCTTGCTTATCACTCGATTGCTAATCCGTAGCTAGGGGCAATTTCGGCCGATGATATCGCGGAATTGCGGAAATAAGTAATTCATTGATCAGCAGTTTAATCAGCAATTAGTTTAATTATTAACTTAGTTACTTTGTACAGTGATTATAGCAGAAATCTAATTTTTTTTCATTGAAGCTATCTACCCAGGTAGCAAAGATGGGGCCAACCTGGTGTACCAGACGCCTACAACCAGTTGGGAAATTTGGTCGCAAATATGACAGCATTAAAAGAATCAAGCCTATTTCCGAGATAACTAGAGACTTTACTTGAGTTAGCATGGTCACATTTTAGATGCAAGTTGCAAAACACAAGGTAAAATTGGCACACTCAGAGACCCGTCTTGAAACATAAGGTATCAAATTTCACCATGAGAAGTAAGTCACAGATAAAAGTATCATCATCGCGTGCCATTTTCTTTTTTCTTTTTTTTTCAAAAAAAAAAAAAAAAAAAACCGAAACCGAAATGAGGAATTTACAGAATGGAAGTGCGCGTACCTGAGCTAGTTCGGTCCCCAGGAAAGGGAACTATCACGGAACAATTATCCTGAACGGTTAGATACTGAGATTGAGCTTGATATGGAAACAATCGAATCCCCAAAACTGTAGGTGAGCAAGAAATTTCAAATTAGAATCATTCTCATTATTGTCGAGATTTCATTTTTCCAAGCCATATCAAGGGAGATATCCTGGAGATGACTTGGGCAAATCCGAAGCATTATTTGGGATTCGGCGATATTTGCACTATTCCCTGGAGGTCGCAGGGATCATGATTCACCCTTTCAGATACTTTATACGAACCATTTGTTTACGCGAGAGGGCAGTGGCCCTATCTGTTCAGGACTGATCCACGATGTCGTCATTGATATTGATATTGACATTCCGCATAACACGGGCGGAGTAAAACCCACCAACCTTTTATGGAGAATGTTTGATATTCGCTAATTGGTCAGGTAGAAGGGTGGGTTTTCGTAATTATGTGGTTCTGTAAGCACCTAATACGATCCTGCTATAGTATATCTGATGTCTACGGTATACAAGATATAAAGTCCTAGAAGACGCTTGCCCAGAACATACAGTGAATTATAAAGATTAAAGAATAAAACCAAGTCAATATAGCAGAATGCCCAGTCGATGTGACATCTGGTTAGCTTTAAACATGACGATTTCAAGGCATAGCAAACAGTAGAACTGATATGCTTCAGACCCTTCTTTCGTGGTCGATAATTTGCTGACGGTGATCATTTATCACCGAGTCGATGACTTGCAGCAGAGCCTCACGAGAATATCTGTAATGAAATTATCAATAACCACCTCGCGGAGATGATAACGATGCGAAGGGCGATCAAGCACTGTTAAAACGCGCCGCCGAATTGAGATGATCAAGAATGCTGTCAGTTTCATCTGAAATGTCCCGAAGCTGATGTATCTGAATACTCCAAGGTCATTTTATTCCGTCAAGTCCCAACTCACAACACAGGGAAAATGCCCATATGCAAGGTCAGGAACCCGAGTCGAATGGATAGAACAAAAGTACCATGGGCAGCCACAGACAGCCGGACTAGGTAAACAAAATAACGGAGCCTGTGGATCGGTCGGTGCTTGGCATGTAAAATGGAGCTCTAAAGATGTCTAGATGCATAGAATAATGGACCTTAAATTTACCCTGGAATATTAGTATACATATAGCCCGTCAAAAGAACGGTGGGTATAGCGGGTATAGCGGGTAAAACGGGTTATCGCAATTGCTTCTTAGATGTGACACTTTGAGTCATTCCAAGGTTGTATTTTCCCCTTCAAGAACACCCCAGTGGAACACAAAGAGTCTGAATCATCCCAATTAATCATTATCCCGAATCGGATGATTCATATCATATTGCACCTCAAACCACCATGACGGAGAAGAATGAAGACCCCGAGTCTTCACACGACCGACAGTCTTCGCTCATTGAACCCCCGCCCGACGGAGGAGCGAAAGCATGGACGCAAGCTGCGATGGGCCATCTAGTGGCGTTTAACACCTGGGGGTACATTGCCAGCTTCGGCGTGTTCCAGGCCTACTACCAATCGACGCTTGGCGTTTCACCATCAGCGATTTCATGGGTTGGATCCGTTCAGATTTTCCTAATTTTCTTTGTCGGGACATTCTCTGGCCGAGCCCTGGATGCTGGCTTCTTCCGCCCGGTCTTTTATGCGGGAATCCTTCTGCAGCTTCTCGGGGTGTTCATGACTTCGCTCTCAACGCGATATTGGCAGCTCTTCCTCGCTCAGGGAGTCTGCACAGGCCTTGGAAGTGGTCTGCAGTTCTGCCCTGTGATGGGACTAGTTGCTACTTATTTCTCTGGACGGAGAGTGTTTGCCCTGGCGTTTTGTCTGGTTGGGAGTGGGACTGGGGGCATGCTTCTTCCCGGCTTGGTGAAGGCTCTCATGCCGACGATCGGATTTGGTTGGACGGTTAGGGTGTTGGGATTTGTTATGCTCGCTACGAGTATCCCTGCCATGCTTCTGTTGCAGACTCGACTACCCCCGCGTAGAGCTGGTCCCCTCATTGAATGGGCGGCGTTCAGGGAACCGACCTACGTGCTTTTCTGTTTGGGCATGTTTCTGAACTTCTGGGGTTTATATTTCGCCTTCTATTACATTGGTGCATTTGGCCGCAGCGTTCTCGGTCTGAGTTACTCGGAGTCGACCAATTTGATCATTGTAACCAATGGGGCAGGAATCGTCGGTCGTCTCATCCCTGCTTATTTGGCCGATTTCAAGTTTGGACCCCTCAATACCATCATTCCATTGACCCTAGGTGCTAGTTTGATGATGTTTTGCTGGGCTGCTGTTCATTCGACGGCAGGCCTGTACGTTTTTGCTGTGCTCTATGGCATATTTTCCAATGGTGTGCAGGGCCTCTGGCCATCAACACTCTCTAGTCTTACGCCCGACCTAAGCAAAACCGGAGTCCGCATCGGCATGGGCTTTACGGTGGTGAGCTTTGCCTGTCTGACTGGTCCACCCCTTGGTGGAGCTCTCATTGCTAGGGCCGACGGCTACATTGGAGCGCAGGTCTGGGGCGGTTTGACCTTCTTTCTGGGCGCGTTGGTGCTGGTAGCTGCTCGCCTAATGAAAACCGGATCAACAATGAGGGCTAAGATCTGATCCAGTTGCCTGTATCAATTTAAAAGGATCTGACACTCTGTTATTAATGAATGCTGTGTCCTGTCTCTTCGAAGATTACTCAATTTTCCACACTTCAGGCTTACCCCCACCAAGGCCTTAGGGGTGGGTCCAGTAAATACAGCTCTAATAAACTACATTATATTACTTCAGGATCTTATTTACTAGCCAGTAGTATGTTCGACGCCATCGATTATGATAAGTCAACGCTGCATTACATGGGTGATGGTGAATAGTATGGGTGGTGGGAGTAGCGGCAGATGCAATCGATAAACTTACCAGGGGAAAGAAACTATCCAAGACACCATAGAAGGCTGAAACGAGTGGATATTACACCTTTGCGACACAAGACGAGTTAGATGATATCCGAGACAGTGGGATTCGCCTGGTGTATGGTGAGAGTATTGTCAATATGATTGTTCAGTCTTTTGCGTCGCCCAAAGAGCAGGACAAACTCCGTGCATATTTTTTGGGATTGTTCGCGATTGATATGATCAGAATTTGTCCTACTCTTCTCATATGAGCATGGAAAAGTATAGGATCAAAAAAACGAGAGGAAATATCCGTGACTGGAGGTTCCAGATGGGTTCATCAAGCATAGTTCGACACTCTGCAGCTGGTATTAGTCAATTTGGTACTCCAGGAATAAAGGAAAACAGCTCACTCGATAAGATTCCCATCAGGATCTCTCACATATACACTGCGAATCTTCCCAACAGCCCCAGTTCTTTCTACAACCTTGGCGCCTTCCAAAATCTGTAAAGATTAGTCTCTACACCATATGCGAGATAAGACTGGGTGTTCATACTTCCATTCTGGCATCCTGGAATACTTTCAAGACCTCTTCCACATTTTCGTCGGTCAAAAAGCATAAATCGGCACTTCCTGGCATAACGTCCTGGGCCTTGGGTTCGAATTCTTTGCCCGATTGGTGGAGATTTATTTTCTGAGAGCCAAAGATGAGGGCATGTCTATTATCGTCAATACCTTTTAGCCATTAAGATTATATAAGTAGAGGGGTTACCTCTGAATAGATTGGTTAACTGGTGTAAATATTTCATGTCGCATGCCGAGGTAAGTCGTATAGAATGCCACAGTTTTGGGAATATTGCGGACTGTTAGGACCAGATGGTCTAGAGATTTGACGGTGAATTTCCCCATTGTGTAATTAGTATGAAGATGTGATGATATTCGGTTGCCTAATGGTCTGGAGGTGGAGGGGTGCATGACTCATCATATATTGGCTCCAGCCAGGGCTCCCACCTTCTACTTCTTCTGGGCAATGCACCCGAGATTCTCTATTTGTTACAAATGAACTAGTTTTCTTAATATTAGGACACTTGTAGAGATGAGAGGTGGCTGAATCCATATTATCAATCACAAATGCATTGGAGACATGCAGCCACAAGCACATTATCTCACTTACCCCGCTGAAGCCCTGAGGGGATAGCTTCATGTAAAATCCTTGGCATGTGGCTCAGCTCTGAGATCATCAAGTATTGGACAATATAAATGCCGCAACAAGAATATGTAGCGCAAGATACACTCATACAACCTATCCCTGGAAGTATAAAGAGCCACCCAACATAGGCCCAGCGCATATATCTTGCGACGAATAAACAGTGCCAACAGCCATGTCCTACACCTACTACTCCAATGCCCGGCTATCGCAAACATACACCCAAAAGCCCCGCAAGACCCTCCGGTCACCAAATCGCGACATCGCCTTCCGCAACCAATACATAGCGCGCTCAAAGACCACCCTCGTGCTCAAACCATTCGGCAGCCCCCACTCCGCCGTTGCATATAAAATTACTGAAGAAGATGGCACGCCACAGTTCACGGTCACTGGTCGCAAATACACTGACCGCTCATGTCGAGAGTTTCGCGATCATTCGGGTCTACCACTCTTCGAGCTACATCGAAAATTGTCATGGACGAATAGTTGGTTGGTGAGCTTGCCCGGATGTGATACTGCGACAATAGCAACTGGTGCTCCGCGATGGACATTGGGGAATGCTTCGTCTGGGAATTTTGATCTTTCGTTCGAGAATGCAGCTGCGTTTGACGGGAAACGCATGGATGAGAAAATGCTTACTTTGCATATTGAACGACACGGAAATGCGCTGGCGCTTTTTGATATTGTTGATGGAGATAGGAAGGTTGCCGAAGTTCGGGAGAGTATTCATCATAATGAGAAATTGGCTTTGATGAGAGGCTCAAGGCAGGGGTATCGGCCTGCTATGGATGTCATTATAATGCCTGGAGTTGATATTTCCTTGGTGAGTACCTGAGTCTGTCGGGCTTTTGATGTGGAGACTGACATTTGTACAGGTTGCGACTGTTGCTGTTATTGTATCTGATTGGGTTTTTGGTTCAAGTTGATTGGGCTCTTTGTTCTTCGTTGTTCTAAGCATAAGTCAAGCAAGTCAAGCAAATGCCAAGGTGTTTCCAGTTCTTGTTTTGGGCTTGGCAGGTATCTGAGGCGCTGATCGTCTCTATCAATTTACCCCAAGATTCTAGCACGTTCCGTTGCTTTGTGCAAACAAAAGCATACGTGCCACATACTATAAAAGAGTGAATCCTCTTCCCTCATGAATCTTCATGCTATTATAGTACTGTCTTATACATATATCTTATACCCACTATCTATTATGGCTATTGATGAGCTACAATAATTCTATTAATTCCTTCTTACACAGAATCCGCAAAGAGAAACATTATCTAGCCTGGAAACCCACCTCTATCACCATGTTCCTCCAGATAGTCAGCACTACGACAGTGGCAAGCTACCTACACTATGAAACGACATTGTAGTCAATTAACATTGCTCCATTCACAGGTTTATCATCTTCTAATGATAATATCCACATGTTGATCTACTTCTTGGGGATCTTCGCGGGCATTACTCTCTGGACATGGCTCTCAATTCCTTAATTATATCTTACCTAGGAGAGGTAGGTACATATCCACATCAAACCGGCATCTTGGCGAGGTACAAGTCTGGGAAGCATGCTTTGCTGACTCCAAGCTATCATTTGCTAAGAAATCGAGCGCCAACATTGCCATCCTTTGTCAGTGGTATGCCATTACCTTGGTCTTTTGTGTTAGATTGCCATGGCCACAGCTCTAGCCTTAACTTCTTCAATCACACATTCTATCTCAGCCATGAACCTTGTCGTCGCCCTCTCGGTAGGCCTCTCTCAACATGTGAATAGGATGAGAGGTCGTACCTTGCTTGCCCTCTTCGGGATAGTTATCTCCATATGATGCCAAAGGCTGTCGGATTGCAAGTATGCGGACATAGTATACCAACGCAGTTTTTAATTCATCCCCGGGAGATTCACCGGATGGTTCGATTACGATTTGGCCTGTCCCATATAATGAATCATAGCCCGGTGTCAAAGAGATAAATTTACGAGGTGAGGGACGCCAAGCTTCATGGTTTATTGAAAGATAGAGGGTTTGTCTCTCCGGCCTGTTTACTTGAGTTGATACCAGTTTTCCATGTTTCTCGTCCATAGATAATGATATGTTGAAGACTATCGTTTCCCTTCAGGCCTCTCATATATTTAACTATACCAGCTAGTCTCTATTTGTACTTGCGGGCAGAGAAATATCTCTCCGGTAGTTCAATGTAGCATGTCATACTTCTGTTACACATATGTAGTCAGTGTAACCGCCTTATCACAATGTACGCTAAAGCTCAACAATCTCGGCAAAAATGACAGTTAATCCTAGTATGACACAACCCCGCACTACAACTAGGTCAGCACATCAGAGGTAGAAGAACTCGAAAAGAAATTGCATGGCATTGACTTGTATCCATTTCTCCTTCTTGGACCTCCTTTGACACCATGTTTGACTATTTGAATACGTCAATAATCACAACTTTGAGTGTTTTGATCAGCTCTCTGGTCCTTTATTACCTTCACACAAACATCTCAGAACGAGTCCTGAATAACTTCCAAGCCACCGAGGTATGGATCCCAGAAGATGAGCTAGTCCTCTTGACCGGCGGGAGTGGGGGTATTGGCAGACAAATAATGGAAGAGCTTTCTCGCAAGAAAGTACGCGTTGTGGTCCTCGATATCAACCGGCCCACCTTTGACCTTCCAGAAAACGTCACATTCTATCAAACAGATATAACATCAGCCAGATCTCTTTCTGAAACGGGAGCTGCTATAAGAAATTCACACGGAGAGCCGACTGTTATTGTGAACAATGCTGCTGTTTTCCACCATGGTACCATCCTCGAAATGCCAGAGGAGAAATTGCGTCAGACATTCGATGTCAACATCATCTCTCATTTCCTCATCTTGAAAGAATTCCTTCCGTATATGGTCCGTATGAACCGTGGCCATATCGTTACAGTAGCGAGCGTTGCAAGTTTTGTTACTATAGGCGAGATGGTGGACTATGCTTGTTCTAAGGCTAGCGCTCTTGCTTTCCAGGAAGGCCTTCGACAAGAATTGAAATATTGGTACAAGGCCCCGAATGTGCGGACAAGGTTAGTTTGGGGAAGCCTTTCAAAAGAAACCATACTGACAATACCTAGTTCCATTCACCCCCTTTGGGTTCGGACTCCCATGATCGAAGGCTTCACTAGATATAAAACCGATTTCCGTCAACCACTCCTGGATCCAAAGGAAGTCTCCCAGGCAGTGGTGGAACATATTGTGACTCGGAAAAGTGGGCAAACCATCGTGCCTAGACATGCCTCGGCGGTTGGGTCCCTCAGGGCCTTGCCATTGTGGATGCAAGAGGCAATGCGATCATACTTCTCGAGGATAGTCCTGCGAGTGAGGATTAAGCGCATTGCTGATGAAAATTCTGGCCGGCATTTCCCTTAATTTGATTTGGATATTGACTCGATATTGCAGTCAAGGAAACGTCGAGACGAAGCTTCAAGGTGTTTCGATTTGAAAGGATGAGTGATATCTCTTGGTTAAATTGTCTGAGTATCAGCAACTTGAATAGAAGATTCGTTTCCGAAATTTAATGTATGTAGATGAATTCTTTGCCGAAGAATGGAGCGAACTGGCAAGAAGGAGCAAACTGGCGAGATTGGTACCAACTGGGCAATTCCTTGCCAGTTGATTCGCTTGAAAGTAGGTGCGACATCTGTAAGGAATCTTACTGATTTTGGGGAAACATCTACTGTATCTCTTTCCCGTTTGCCGATGGAAGCCAATGTCAATTAAGGCAACTTGTCGATTCCCTTTCATTTCTTTTGCCTCGCTTCTCGCCCTTCACAGTAATTCTCTAAATCTTCTCCAACTCATGACTCTGCAAAAACCTGTGGTTTTCTTAATAGAAAATTTCAAACCCGAAAATCCGGTCGCTGTCTAAACAATTCCAAAAGAGGCAAAAACAATTTCCTCCCCTCAACCCCAGCCTTCATCTCCTCCCCATACACCCGCAACTCATCCCATGAGATCCATTCCCACCCTTCACACTTCTCCGGCTCAAGGATCTACAGGAACAAGTAAGCTGCATATCCTCGTTCCGTTCCTGCAGGATAAAAAGCCACAATAAGGGAATATGCAATGAAGGGTGCCACGAAAAAAAGCAAGTTCACATAAAGATACATAGCATAGAAAAAGCAAATATCAACTTACCTGAGGATCAGCATTTTCCTCACAGACACCACCCATAAAAATGGTAATGTAGTGCTTATTCTCTGCTTTCATGATTGAATTCGTGGCATTCAGGAACCGCACATCCTGGATCTTCAGACCTGTTTCTTCGAGAGTCTCACGGGCGGCGCAGGTCTCGAAGGATTCACCAAATTCAAGGTGTCCGCCTGGTAAGCCCCATGTGCCTTTAATCTCAAATAAGCATTCATAATTACTTATAATTGCTTGTTGTATGCCCAGGTGTGGATGCACGTACCAGCGCCAAGACTCCCCTTTCGTTTGCCAATGACGAATTTACCTGCAGCGTTGAAAACGAAGACGCCGATTCCGACTTTGGGGTCCATCTTGTGTTGTACGTGATTTTGGGGAGTTGGATGAAGTGTGATTCTGCGCTTATCGGGAAGTGGGGAGATTATCTCTCGGCTCTTCCAGGTATCCTGACCATGCTCTATATTGCAGTATTGTAGATTTTGTACTATTGCAGAATTATATATATTTTACCATGTACTTCGATTATCGTATATACTGTAAATGCCTCGGGGTACGACGCTAATCTCTTACTTTCAACATAAAGTGATGTGACCACCAATCACATCCTGAAACGAACTTGATCTGCTTCGCATACATCCAACATGCTTATTTCATGCGCGTAAATATGCAGGAGCTCAGGGGACCAACAGCAGGTTACATGCTATGCTTAATCCAGGGATATAGCCACCGATCTTCAATTTATGCTTCCTGCACGACCAACATCGAACTATAAGAATCCTTTCCTCGAAAACAATCCCTACAGCCTATCACAGCCACCCCTAAGAAATGATAATACCGAATTGGTATCAGAGCTGAGACTGATCATCAATGATCACCATTAAAGGCAGCGTGATCTTCATCTAGTTTCCGTTTCCATCATACGGTGTGATTTATACAAATCCGTTGACCTCCTTGCTCTCTCTCCTCTCCATATTTATATCTTATCCCATACACCTCCAGCATATCTTTCCTATCAAAAAAACCAGAAATCCTCAGTTGACATCCACAATTCAAGTCCGCCAACACCACTCCACACAAACCAAAATGCACTTCAACATCCTCCTCACCTTGTCCACCCTGACAGCTCTGAGCAGCAACGCCGCAGCCCAATTCCCCCTCAGCGGCATCAATGGTCTCAATGCCCTCGGTGGATTAGGCGCTTTCAGCCAAACTCCAGGCCCATCTAGCACGCCCATCCCCACTCTGGTGAAGAAGCCAGCCACGCCCCTCGCATTCCCATTCCCCTCTCAGACACCTAGCTTGTCCACCCCCGTGCCGAAAGCTAGCGCTAGCTCTGGATTAAAGGATAGCTTGCCGCTGGGTAGCTTGTTTGGGGCTCTTTAGATGCATTAACCCTAAGAGCTCTTTTGAAACAAGGGGGATATTACTGTATATGGATCGACGATTGAGGGGATGTCATATTGTCTTGAAGATTGGGGGTTACTTGTGTCACTGTATTCGTGCTTGATTCTTTTTATGTGGACTCGAGTAAATCTGAAAGACGAGAACCAGGGGGGATTTATACTCACAGGTGGAGACATCGCGCCTTCCAGAATAGTATCAATTACCTCATTTTTATCCTAGGAAGGAACGACCTTAGAGAGTTCTCTATTTCGAATCCAGTTCTTTCCCCCAGAAAGAAGACATCTTTCACCCAAAGACTACTTTAATTTCTGACCCTCTCTAAGAAGATACGCCATTCATTCCATTGCTCTCGTCCAGGTACTGAAGAAGCTAGTACATCGCGTTAGAACAGGTTCCCATCGGAGGTGATCATCGAATCCCTTAGACGTTGGGAAACCAGGACTACCCGAGTCGATACGACTTCTTACACTTTCCATCGTACATTTCTTGCATCCTCCATGGCAAGATATGCGAACCAAGATCCAGGGCACTTTATGACACTATAAGAAGGGGGGCGAATCTATCCATATTGATGTTTTTGTCAAAATGAGGTTGGAGAGACGAGATAGACTGCTCAAGACGTCCTTGGAGTTAAAAGGGTGTGCCCAACTCAAAAAAATGGCAGGAGAACGCCAAAAGAGGAAATTAAGTAATATCTACTTAGAAATGCGGAATAGGTCTGAGAAGCAGAGAACCGCATACTGGTGAAACGAGACGAACGGATACGGGAGTCTACCATCCATGGATGGATATAGAACAAGGTAATTCCCCTCGACCGCCATATCCAATCTTCCAATTTCCCAATTCCCTAGACATAGATCCTCTCTTCCCCCATTGCGTATCAAGTTTACCTAACCTCAAACCCTCAACATCTACAACACTCTATATCTACCCCTAGGATTCCGAGTCTTTCAGACATCTCAAAATATTAGCAACCTGGCCTGGCGCTCAGATGACCCTGTGACACTTCCCAATGGTCGCCTTGTCTGCAACTTACACAGACTCGTAATTTGTGGCTACTGCACCGTGGACTACAGCTTCATGGACGAGTTCTCAGATGCAGAAACGTCGGACCATAGCGACGATACAGATGATGACACCGATGATTCCAATGAAGTCGGGCCCCCTCGCAATGTGTTTGCCCCTGGCCAAGAGTGCACAGTCGGCACGGGGCGCATCTTCCCTACCAAGTTCAATCCCCCAAATCCAAGTGACACGCCGAACTCGCTTTTCCCACTCACCAGATCTGAGAGGGCCAGTCCACCTGTATATCGGTTCATTCGTCGCGGCCAAACCAACCAATTCCCGGTATACACAGATGGCGCGTGCTTGGACAACGGTGGTGCAAACCCAAGAGCCGGTTGTTGTTTCGTTTACAGAAATACTATGCGGGACCCCCAAGTTTGTGGCTATATAAGCTTTCCGCTGGAGAAGCAAGGTCCTACGGGCATTGAGCAACCGCAAACAAGCAATCGGGCTGAATTGCGCGCTGTCATTTCGGCTACTCGATTTCGATACTGGCCTGGCGAAGGTTGTACTTGTCTAGTCATTGCTACTGATTCGGAATACGTGGTAGAGGGTATGACGAAGTGGGCCAAAAAAAATGGGTACAGAACAACTGGAAGACGAAAGTGGGAGCGCCTGTCAAAAATAAGGCTCTTTGGAAGTGTTTACTCGGGGAGGTGGAACGGTGGGATGAGAAAGGAATGCGGGTTCAATTCTGGCGTATTCCAGGACAATGGAATACAGAGGCAGACCAGCATGCTAAAGAAGCTGCTAATCAGGATACGTCCCAGGTATTCCAGGACATCCTTGGTGCCCTTGTTTGAGAGGATCCGAACACAGAGCTGCCAGATCTACCTGCCGTCAGGTTCAACAGGCCTACAATATAGCCCTGGGGGAATCCAAGAAACAGGTACCTATTTTATAAAGTGCTAGCTTAGGATAGCCTGGGGAGCTTGTGGCTAAGGCTTAATGACTCCTATCGATACAAGAGGGTTTTTTTTAATAGTTCATATTCGAACGTGCAGTCATTAAAGCATAATATCAGAAATCCACCCTTGCCCAAGTCCAACCCGTGAAACGATAAAGCCCCAAAAAGCCCCCCGAAATAAATCATAAAGTCAAAAAGGAATTAATATACAAGTCAGAGCCACGCCAATCAGACTCGCGGCATCCCTTGCCGTTGCTCAAATCATTAAAAAAAATGCAATGCATCAAGAACTCGAACCGCCATTCCAAACGAGGTTGATATAGTCTCATGATAAATGGGACTGAGAGGGTCTTCGCGGGTTATGTAAAGCGCACTCGCCCGAATCTTGACTTCTGTTGCTTCCCCGATACCAGCCCTGATTGATCAGTTGTGTTTCCAGGTCTCGCCAGTAGCCAGCTTTTCCACCGGCGCCTGTCTTCAAATCGAGGTCGCCAAGGCGAATTTGAACGGGTGACTTTTCGTCATGGGGGATCTGTGGGGGAGGTCAGTATTCGAATCTGGACGATGTTTCCCCAACAGAATCTTGATCTTGACTGGAACGACAACCCCTGGTTTTGCAGCATGACTCACCTTGATAAACATCGTACAGTCCCGCAGAGTCATCGCAAGCGACATCTCCCGAGACTGCGCTGCCGGACCCTGCAGCCCGACATCCCTTTCAGTCTTCTGTAGTGACTGCAGCCTCTGCAGTATCGGGTTGCGATACAAAATCCGAGCTAATCGCGATCGATCCTTGCAGCCCTTGATCAACCCTGTCGCCCGCAGCACATTCTCATATTGCTCCGATACCAGATCCAACGGACAGAACGACCGCTGGTCTTTTAGGCCTTGGAGTTGCCCCTCGCGGTTTTTCATCTCCCTCAGCGCACAGGTCCGACACCTATGCGCTGTCGCAGGCGCTGATGGCGACTGGATGAGCCACTTGGGTTTCAGCTCGGCCAGGCTAGCGCCGGGATCTCCGGCCGTCGTCATGTCAGTGATGAGGAGGCCGAATGGCTCATGGACGCAGAGATAGCCGCCATGACGCTTCTTTGGACGCGCGCCGTTTCGTTCGGCAGTCCGGAGTTGCTCGTTGCAGCTGGAGAGGAGACCCTCTGGGAGTCTGATGAGGGTTTGGTCGACTAGTTCTTCGGGGTTAAATAAGGGTCGGATGATAGTATCGAAGTTTTGGACAATCTCTTTGTACGAGATGTCGGCTGCAGTTTCTTTGCGGAGTCGGAGCAATTTTCCCTTGAATTGGGGTGGTAGGTTGCAACGATCTGCGTCGAGTGCAGATGGAGATAGTGGCCTCGGGTCTTTTTTGCCGAGTACTGGATTTCCGACAAATCGATAAATCACATTTGCTCCTCCCTCGGCCAGGTAGACGAGTTGAACTCCCAGGGGGAGTTCAAGGAGATTTGGTTTGGTCATCCGTTAGAGGAATGGGTGTTGGGCTGGAGTTCCAAGTTATATCTGTGATCATGACGTGATAGTGGACAAGTTAGGTATCTCCACAAATAATGGATTTGAATGGATTTCTAGGGTCGAAAGGTTGAGAATGTATGCGAAACAATTCTCTTCAGCAGATTATGGATATGCATCCAGTGAGAGCTTAAAACCGATCCAGAGGGGCTAAACCGAGTTTGGATCACACTTGGGCACGGGAGATCCAATCAGTTTCGATGAAAGTGAGATGCGCAAAAATTCAACTGGTAGAGCAGACGGACAAAGCTCAGCCCGAAAGAAGATTTCGACGGAGATTCCGGACAAAGAAGCCCGACATTCAAAAAACCTGGGGTGACATAAAAAAAAAGCAGGGTTTAGTTGTGGGGACTCAATAAGAGTGAGTGGCGCACCCCCTGGAGTCGATCATACCACAGCAGTAGAGTCTTGGGAGTTCATGAAGATCTTCAACTTCGGAATTTTAGAAGAGAAAAAACAAAAAAAAAGATGTGAAGTTGAAGTCGCATTTATCGGGGCAATGGCGGTCAGCAAATATGCCTCGAACTGTAGAGATGCAGCAAGTGACGGTCTGCAGATGTGAGATGATAAGGAGGCTCGAGTGTTCGGTAAAGGTATAAATGTGTAAAAGAGTGTAAAGGAGTGTAAAGATGTAAATGCGTATGTACTTTTGGTATCTTCAAAGTTTCAGCCCTGCGGATATATGTCACACTGATCACATCCTCACCTCATCTCTCTACACTTAGATATAATCCTAGATCTTCCCTTTTTACCCCGCCATTTCACCATCCCACTATTTCACTATTTTTCACCAATATGGCATCTATCCCGACCCCTGCCCACTGCGTCGCCGATTTCTGTCTGGTCCCTGTAAGTCTAAAAGTCTTTTTTTATCGACATAGCTAACAAAACCGTCAGATCGGCACCTCTTCACCCTCAGTCGCTGACCAAGTCGCTGACGTCCAGCGGCTGATTGAAACATGCGGCTTGAAGTATGTCATGCATTCCGCAGGCACCACTGTCGGTACGTATAGAATACATGTCTCGAAGCTAAAACATAGTTTTGTATATTACCCCCGGCATCCGCAGTTCCGGATCCTATTTGAATGGAACTTGCTCTCATCCTCATAAGCTGTTCTGCCCCTGCGGCTGAAACTGGAATCAAGGGAGAGAGCTGAGAGCTGACAAGACCGTGTAACACTATTTCTATATTTACTGACTTTGCTTTTGTAGAAGGATCTTGGGACCGGGTTCATCAGGTTATCGGACAGGCACATACCATTCTTCATCAGAAAGGCATTGTTCGGATCCATACTGATATCCGTGTTGGGTCGAGGTGAGTTTGTTTGTTTTGTTTTGTTGGAGTAATCCATGTGCTAATGGTTTCCAGGACTGATAAAGTGCAGTCCTTTGAGGATAAGGTGACCAAGGTGCATAAGTTATTGGGAAAAGACTAGAGTAGAAGTTGAACACGAGTTGACTTTGAATCATTCCATTCGTAAAGACTATATCATATATTCCTGGGGGAAAAATGTTAAAACCATCCCAATTCTAATCCAAAACGCCATGCCCTTGAATGCAGATATCGATGCACCGTCCACCCAGGGCCCCATACCACAGGACTCAAAAATATCCAAGAAACAACGTATAAACGCTCCAAAAGATAAAAACACACAGACCGAGGCCAAATCACTCGGCTCAGAAGGAAATTCCCCCTCCGAGAAGATTCCCCCAGTTCCCACCAGTCCAAATCCAGTTTCCCATAGATACCGAAGTGCCCGATTTGGCCGAGTCCGCCAAGTCAACCAGCGCCTTGAACACATTACTCGTCGACGAAGCATCGCTGGTCGATTCCGCCGAGGTCGAGACAGATTTGCGGCCAACGGGATTGGTAACATTATTCAAGTTATCGACAGTATCGATCGCCGGTCCGCGGTTGAAGAAGTCCACCATGATATAGCTAGGTTGTCGCCCATTCCACGCCTTCTTACAGTCTGTAGCCGCAGTGCCCAGGTTGCCCTCTCCGCCAGACGCACCGTTCGTCGTCCCCACGTAGCTGGCGTTCGGGTACTCCACGTCTATGATGGCGAGGCTGCTCGAGTAAAGGAAGTGGTTCATCAGTGGGAGGAGGTTGGCTGCTAGTGCCGATGCGCTGTTATCTTTGTATGCCGACGGTCGGTCTGGCAAGCATGAGAAGTTTGAAGCGGAGCTGACGTCGTATGGATTCTCCCAGATGTAGCTCCATTCGTCCATTAAGTATGGGTAGCTAGCGCTGGTGTCTAGGGAGGCCACGAAGACGACTAGTCGCTTGCCGTCATCAATCATGGTTTGTAGGGTTGGCCAGGTAGTTGGGGCAGTGTCTGGGGTGGTTGGCTCGTAGGCGTAGTCGGTGATGTTGGCTGTCGTAAATTCGGTATTGAGATCGGAGGCTGTGGCGTCGTCGGAGTTGACTAGGAGGATTGTGATCACTATTTTGGAGACTGTTAGCTTTCTCTCTCTCTCCCTATATCCTCACCGAACTAACTCACCCTCGTTTGGATTCTCATCCAGCCATGTCTTGATCTTCTTCAGCCAATCGCTCAGCAACCCCGCATCGAGTAGGTCGCAAGTGGAATGACATAGACGCCATTGTGAGTTGCTCTTGTGGACTTGGGCTGTTACTAATCGAACACCGGCTGATAGTTGCGTGGGAGTGTCATAGTATCTGGAGAACGGGTGTTAGTCTGCCATGTGATCATTGAAATTTGGAGGTAAACATACTGGTTGGCGGCTATCGAGTTGCCGGTGCTATCGTCACGCACAAAGGGACTGTCGTGGGCACCGAGATGTGTGATTTCTCCATAGGACTTGGAACATAGATCAGGAGAGTTGTTGCATGCTGTCGTACGCTTCTGAATCAAAGGGTTCGCAAGGACCACGGGCAACAATGCCAGGAAGTTAAATACTCGCATAACTGTACACAAATGATGTAAATGTAACCAATATAGTCTGTAGAATCAAATATAAACAAGGAAAATAAAAGGAAAAGGAGATAGAAATAAGAAACAGAATGTTTACAAGGCCGCGTTGCCGTCTCAACTATTCTTAGATCGGTGGATCGACAACGGGGCTGCACTGCCATTGGGCCATTTACTTGTGACATAGCCCGGGTCTTTTAGGCATAACTATTAGCAATATATAGTAATATATAGTAATATACGAGTTAGATGAATTTTTATTGATCCTTGACGATCATTGTCAGGAAAGGCTTACGTGTACACTGATTCTCGTATGGGTATTATGATCAATTATTTACATATTTGCTAATATACATGGAGTGCAAGTCTCATAGTCCTTTAAGCGACAAACGTATACCCGGGGCTCGTCGTTTCGTTCTGGTCGCTCTTGGCGGATTCACCAGCTGCTCCAAATTTTGTTCCATCCCATCAAAGAGAGATGGATCGCCCCAGGCCTGGAACACATCGTTCAACACTTGCTGCAGATGATATGGGTTCCGCCGCCGCAGCATGCGGTTCATGCGTCGCGCTGACAGAACATGGTGGCTGTAGAGCATGGCCAGCCGGTGGCGGACTGCTTGTGATATCAACCGCTTGTCAAGACGAAGGCCGGATTGTTCCAGCTCTCGAAGTAAAATCAGCCCCCGTACCCAAGGAATGAGCTTTTCGTCCGTTTGGGAGTTAGGTGGGGCGATGGCGAATTTCGATGCGGTGGTCTCCAGTACTCGGAATGTGAAACCCCAGGAGACGATGGCGGCTTGCATTTGTGGATTGAAGACCAGATCGAGCATCCGCCGATCGCGGCCGTTGGGCTGCTTGGTGGGATCAAGCGACAGTTTGGGCTTCAGCTCAGGGCTTTCAGCGTATTGGCGGACGAGCCACTGACAGCATTCTCGGAGTTTATCCCAGTCTGCCCATGCGTCTGCCATACCGAGACGCTTGAGCATCTCAATCCAAAATGCAGCACTGACATACCCTCCCGCAGGAACCACGCGCTTTAAAATCTTGAATATAAAGATCACTTCGTCGACGGCAGACAGGCGTTGCCCCGGCGGCGGGCGATGGTTCATTCGCCGAGGGGTGAGAATCTGGTCGGCCATGAAATCCACGCTGTCTTCGCCTAAAGTCCGGCCACGGAGGGCTAGCTCGTCGGCAACCTTGGACGCCGCGCTCAATTCCCAGGCCGCGATATGCTTTCGAAAATGGATGTCGTAGAGGTCCGGTGCGCCCGGGTACAGTTCCGTTAATACCGCTAGAGTCATGTTGTACAATCGCCAATCCCGTGCCATGTAGTAAGATACCAGCATTGACTCCTGCATACGCTTGTCTTCGAGAGTATCAGGATGCTGATCGCTGCGGAGGATGTCGGAGAGAAGGATGTCGCGGTTTTGGGCTGCAAGTTTTTGAACTAAGCGCGAGAAGACATTGCTTCCTATAGAAATTCCGGACTGCTTAAGTATTTTAAGCTTGTCCAGAAGATCTTGGTTGCCGTGAGCTCTCGTGGCTAGTTCGCGCAACGTCCGATGGCCGATCTCTGATACACCGAGCATCTTCAAGCCACCAACGATCATATCGAAATTGAGAGCACGAGTAGCAAACAGCTTAGCACCGATGTCATCTTTGAAGGGTTTTTCGTCCTGTGACCCCTTCTCCTCAGATTTTGGGGTGGTATCTATTGGGCCAGGTTGATCAATCGAAGCTTCTGTATCAAACCGCTTTTTGACATAGCCACGGAGCCGATTGAACTCTTTTCGTAGCCCGAATTTCTCAACATATTCCAGCAACGGCTGTATCTCGTCTGGGCTCTGTGGGTGATCCTGACGTCGAGCAAGGAAATGATGCATTGAGATCGCCGCCTCTCCGTGGCCTTGCCGTATGAGCATTGCAACGACAGGGCCATAAAAATTATGATCGGGGGTCGTGGAGCAAATGGCTTGGAATGCCTGCAATCCCGGCGACAAGGGCGACCGCTCGAGGTCAGCCGAAATCGCAAATTCCGTGCCAGCCGGAAGAGACGAAGAACGGATCGCCGAGGGAAGGATTTTCAGCACATCATTCGCACCGGCTAAGTGAGAGTTTTGAAGCTTCTTGTGGCATTCGACCGCACGTTTCGTCAAGCCTTGCTCAAGAAGCCCACCTACCACGCGCTCATACAGCTGTGGCCATCGGTTGCCTTGTTGCTCTCGTATAATGACAGCATAGTCAAGGACCTCCTTAAGAAAAAGCTCACGCCTCAATCCCATGTCCACAAAGCTCTGCCAAAAGAAGTCCGCTTGCTCTCCTGCAACTGGGAGCCGTACACCATCCACTCGGACCCTCAACCCTTCCCATATGTCTAATGTGCCATTGTCACCATAATGACGCTGACGGTATCGAAGAAGCTCCTCCCACAGATCGAGATTATTTCGATGCTCCGGGTTGTCCACTAATCGCGTTCCAATGTTGTTGAGGTGTCCGACGTCCGATTCGAATTCAAGCTTGTCCGGTCGGAGGGACAAAAGTTTGGTAGGGCATTGTGTCGTGTTATTATTCTTTTGATGCTCCACGAGAGGCGTGGGCTCAATTGGATTTGGTTCGTTCGAGGCCTCAATGTCGTAGACGGGAAAGCTGAATGGCCGTTTCCCTCGGCATGGATCCTCAAGCTGATGCCGGGTCGGGCTATTGTCGGGTTCCTCGAGTAGTTCTTGTTTGGCGCTTCGTGAATGACATCGTAGACACCTGTACCTGTACTCCAATTGCTCAATTCCGACCGGTGTTGCTGTGAGTGTGTCAAGAATCGAGACGGCGGACGGCCTCTTCAACAGTCGCAGAAGCGCCGGGCGCATGAGTGATTAAGAAAGGAAGGTCGGGAAAGCAGATTCTCCACGCCAAACATCCTTCTTCGAGCTCCCGACGTCAATCCAAAAGCTTCGTTGCCGAATATTCAAAAGTTGATACGCGTCTGGGCACTTTTCTGGCGCTTTCCCCTTTTGGGATGATGACCAGATACAACGTCTGATTCGATCAGGTGATGCTCGGCACGTGACACGATATCCAGCTCATTCCGGACCAACTTCACATCCCCATCTTGCCCACGTCGTACCTCAAATCCCCGCTCCTTCCTCGCTTCCAACCGCGAAAATGTTCCGTGCTACTAGCTCCCGCATGGCTGGGTACGTGCTCCCTTCGAATCGCTGCATAAACGGCCCCCGCACAAACCCGATCGTGAGAGTGCGACCACCGAATTTCCTCCCGCGATCTTCGGAGTCCAATTGCGATTGATGCGGCTGCAGGGACCTGCTATCCCGCCATATTACTGCAAGTTATACTGACTGATTGGCTCTGTTTAGCTTCGTGTTCCGTGAGAACCGTGTGCCCTACTACCAGCGTCTCTTCCAGAACCACGATGGCAAGCGCCAATGGTGGAAGGTCAGTACACGCCGGAAGGGGCACATACGCCTTCAATTGAGCTTCAGAAAGAACAAGAAACTAACACTGGAATTATCTCGCAGACCTCCCGCTCCGGTTACATCATGTACCCCTACCTGCTCTCGGTCTACGGCCTCGGTGCTGGTGAGTGGGCCCATCTTCCGATACGAGATCCGGTCGAGGATAGAAAACTAACCGACAATAGCTACTACCTACGCTATGTGCCGTATGGTTCTCGTTAGTTTCACCCAGCCCGCTATTGCTCATGCTCCGACGAGAAGCACGGGCAACTGATTTAATACGTTCACATGCTGACTTCTTCACAGGGCCACAAGACTTGGATCTAAATTATAGGTCTCAAGACTTAGTCTGGCAGAGATAAATGATGCCATCTTCAGTTTCGTTGGTTATTCAAGCTAGGCATCAGTTGTTTTTTGTATGGTGTATTTCTACTCCAGGAAGGGGTTAGATGGATTGGTAGCCACGCAGATTTGGAGCTGTACATATGATCAATTCAAGCGCCAATCCAAGAGATGCTGCTATATTTATCGTTTCCCTGGTTTCACAGAAGTACTCGTTCGGTCCCCGCCCCAAGTTAGGTTGGCACTGTCTTCGATAGAATAGAGATTGTTGTGCTATAACTCGCAGCAAGTCGAAGCGGGGATATTTTAGCTCTTATTGGAGCTGCTAAGCATCCAAGGGGCTGTAACAATGCTGTCTACCTCATTAAATACAGCATTGCTCATATCCATGTACGGCAGTGGAGAGATCTTATCCCGTGAAGGTCGAAATGGATGACGCATGACTTGCCTTGGCGATTCCAAGGTTGGGCGGGCATACATAGGAGACTAACAATCTCCTTGTACAGAACGTTGTACTTTCATGTCTGTCGTAGCCATATACATAGTGGCGTACGTCCGATTGTTTGATACTTCTGTGGCAAGCTTTTGGGGCTCTCAAGGTCTCAAGTATAGCTGCCATCACAATCAACACCGTCTTGTCAAAGCAGATATTTCCAGTTTCAAATGTGCACCTTCATTTGAATATCTGCGAGATGTTAAATTGTGTTGGAGTTCGAGATTGGGTGGTTGTGTGAGACAGGTCCTAGAAGAAGTGCGAGACATAGGACTAATGTATATCTCTTGACGGACGTGGTTAACTCAGGCCGTACAAGGTCATTCAGTCCTATCCGCCCAGGACATACGTTGTATGTGCAACCAACCACAAGAAAAGCTCATAATAGCTAAGGCTAGTAGATGTGAACGTGCAGAAGGTCATCGCAGGATTTAAGCCCCAGGGCCCAGGCGCCGCGGGCCGCGTCCACGGCTGGCGGGTGCCCCGGTGCTTTCCATTTGATTACTCAGCTGTTTCACAAGCCAATTTCATGGTCTTACTTCCGTCTCCGGGTAATACACACAACGGCTTTGCTTGTTCGGATCCATATATCCCTTTAAGTGAGAACATGCACTGAAAATATCTATATCTCGATATAAGCTGTGAATTGGGGCCCTGAAATACCCGATAGATGCTCCTAGGATGACTGTTCTCATTGAGAGCCGTACGTCCTGATATTGAATATTGCGAATATAACAATGGAAGACGAGAGCTTCACCTATTCGGAGAGACCAAGCAAGCGGGTTCGTCAGGCCTGCGAGCCTTGCAGGTATCGTGACTATTGAATTGTTTGAAAATATAGCGGTTAACCAATTTTGCAGGCGTAAGAAAGCCAAATGCCCTGGAGAGCAGCCGGTCTGTTCTCTGTGTGCCAGGCTGCGGCAACAATGTTTATATGCCGATGAAAGGCGTCGGCCACTTCCCGAGTCGAGCCCAAGGCTGAATGATTCAGAACCCCGAACATCTCACGTTCTAGTGAGTTCTTTTCCTATGAATGCAAGCCCCACTGGATTTTATCCAAATACTAATTCCATCATAGGAAGATAGATTGCGAAGCCTTGAAAGCAAAGTGGGAGAGGTTTTGAATGTACTTGGGTAAGAACATACAGGATCCCTGTTAAGCAATAGCAATAACTTACTCTTAGAGACATACTGCAGCTCGAGGAGTGAGCCACAAATACCCACAGAATCTCATGTTCCGTCTGTGACGCTGTCAATGCCAAGTTCATCCATTACTCTACCACCGTGGGAGGAGATTATTCCCATTGCGGAGCTATATCTGTTATACTGTGATTCTCAGCCTCTGCCTCTTTTCTTCAGGGATAGCTTTCTCTCCAGTCTACAAACACGCGAGGCAGAGCTTCTTTTTGCTATATTGGCACTTGCCTTTCGCTTCTCATACGCGCACCTCAATAAGACCGATTCCACTAGCCTGATAAATGGCTATGCTGAAGTTGCTCGGGGCCTCGTTATGAAAAGAGTCTCAGAAGGACCAGTGGAGCTTTCGACACTTCAATGTCTCTGTATTTTGAGCTTGGTTGACTTCACGAGTATGGGCCCCGTGCTTTCAATCTTTAGATTTGGGCTAATAATATCTACCAGACGGCAATACACATCGTTCTAGCATCCACAGCAGCTTAGCAATGAACCTTGCACAATGTGCCAACCTCGGACAAGAGCCGCGTTCATCGACCAGCACCGTAGTTCGCGAAGAACGCAGACGTTGCTTCTGGAGCATATGTCTTCTCAAACGGCTACACGGTGGTGACTTCCCAATCCTGGACATACCCCAAGCCGGAGGCCCTCCATATCCCCGAAGCCCGGCACGACCAGCACGCTTCCTCTCCCCGGGGCCATCAACCGCCGAAATACGGCGAAGTGACATGCAAGATGAAGGAATCATTGCATATGTGGTAATGCTGAGCGAAGTGTTCGCGAGGACAGCACGATACGTGCGCCTTCACGGACGCCCAAGCAATGTCCCACCATGGTCTCCTCATTCCGAATACTCGAAAATTCTCGCATTACAAATGGACCTCGAGACGCGCATGCCATATATCCACCGGTTCAAGCCAGCCAACCTCGCGGAACGGTCTCTCGAGGAATTACAGGCACATCGTGAATATTGGGGCCCGTGGTTTCTGAATCAATTCATGTATCATACCAGCCTGTGTCTACTCAACCATCCGCTGCTTCTCTCGCTCAGTCTTCGGAATTTCCGGAGTACTATCCCGGAGATATTTTTACAGCATACCTCGGACTTGATCTCTTCGCATACAACCTGGATCATTCACTTCATCAACTGCTTTGAAGAGAAGTCATTTCTAGTATCAGATCCATTACTAGGCTACAGCGCCGCCGTTGTCGCTACAATCGAGCTACAACTCAGTTTCACAGATGATTTGACTATAAGAGAACATAAGCGTGAAAGATTCGCCAAGTGTGTCAAGTTTGTACAAACCATAGGGGAAAGGTGGCCGCACATGGCTCGGCTGGTATGAACCTCCATCCTCTCAGGTCTCTTTTAGGTGAAAACAACAATCTAACACTTCATTTGTCATATCAACAGGCACATAGATTACAGCGACTAGAAGACGCAGTCTCGGCAACCTACCAGTCAGACCCAGGCGCGCAAAATCAAAGCCTTCTAATCGATCTATCGCGATTCTGGGAAATCCTTGAATACTCATCCAACAGCGACACAGACTCTGCCCGGCGTCTATTCGGGGAGTCGCTTTATGCTGGTTCATCTTCTGCTGGCGCAGAAGTATCCCAGACATCACCTTTGCCTGCGCCATTCCGGTTGAGTGTCCAGGGAGAAGATATACCAAACCCTCGGTCTCAATCTCTCGGTACCGCATTTCCTAGCCAGGACTACCCAACAAACCCTTTGCTCTCGCCGCAGCATTTGACGCTGTCTAATGATGAGTTTTCTATTCTTGCTGCCAATTTCTTTTCCCAGGGGCAAGAGTTCCTACGCAGTGGTGATAACTGGGAAAGCGTTGGGAATTTCTAAGGCGCCGCAACAGCAGGCTTCAACTCTTGTGTATATTTATCTTTGTCTTCAGTCCTGAGATTGAATAGCTCCGAAAGGTTCCCAGCATATTATTCATTGTGCATTGCATTATCATACTCGACATTTTGTCCACATTCGTCTTCGTCATATTAATTATCAACTACGAATCGGCCAAAGCGCCCTTAAATTCCTTGACAAAGTTGAACACCTCAGAGAACGTGTTGTACAGTGGCACTGGTGCTACACGAACAACGCCCGGCTCCCGCTTATCACAAATTATACCCGCATCCTGTAGGCGTTCGGATACCTTGTGTAGCAAGCCTGGCTTGAGCAAAACACTTAGTTGGGCACCTCGAGCATGGGGATCGGAAGGAGTGATAATATCAAACAAACGAGTCTGCTCATCGGTATCCTTCAGAAGCAGGAACTCCAGATATGCCGTCAACTTCAATGACTTTTGGCGTATATCGGCCATCGAGGTCTGATCGAAGACGGACAAAGCCGCACAAAGACAGGTCAGATCAATGACTGAGGGGTTGGAGACCTGAAAGCCTCCAGCTCCAGGGATAGGCTTGAACTCTGCTGGTGGTTAGCCTCTGCTAGAATATGCATTGCACAAGACGAAGAGGAAGAAACTAACTGTTGTCCATTTTAAACCTCACCGACCGGTCACCACCATACCATCCTGTCAAGCGGTGACGGAACTTAGGAGCATCTGGTCCAGCGCTATAATCAACCTGACCATGTCTCTCATGCACGTAAAGACCACCCATGGCGCCGGGCCCGGCATTGCCGTACTTGTACGTGCACCAAGCTGCGAAGTCGACGTTCCAGTCGTGCATCTTCAGCTCCACATTTCCATATGCATGTGCTAGATCCCATCCAACGACGAGGTTTTTTGATTGGGCGTACTTGGTAATTGTGGGGATGTCAAATAATTGTCCGGTGTAGTATTGGATACCGGGGAGAAGAAGCAGGGCTGCGCTTTCGGCATGCTCGTCAATATATGACAGGATTTTTTCTGTTGATATTTCGTATTGTCCCTCATCCGGGCCAATGAGAATCATGTTCTCCTTTGCATCTAGGTCATGCCAGGCAATGTGTGATTCAATTGCATACTATAGACGTGTCAGTGATGAACAATCGAGACAGCCGATTATCACAATGTTGATCCTGGGATGATCATTTTGGTGGTAGGTTGTCACTTACATGATCACTGGGGAATGCCTTCCAATCCATGAGAATCTTCCGCTTGGTCTCAGTCGGCTTGTAGAAGCTTGCAAGCAACAGGTGGAGGTTTGTAGTTAAAGTTCCCATGGCGGCGACCTCTTCAGGAGCAGCCCCAACAATGCGGGACATTGAAGCAGCCGCCTGTTCAGACAGTAGTTGCCATTGTTTCAATGGTGAGTCTTCGAGATCAGTAAAGTGTCCACAGACACCGATGGACGACCAAGTATCCAACTGAGCCTCCATGTACTTCGACACGGCCTTGGGCTGGATACCCAATGAGTTACCGCAAAAGTACGTGCTCGGCTCTGACGAGAGACCTGTATTAAATTGTTAGAGATGATCAAACTATATTTCGCGTTTCCGGGGGCATGTGGTTCCCACCTGGCTTTGCCAACTTCTTCGTCGCAAGATTCGCCTTGGAGGGAATGATAAATTGGTCGCGGAATTCACGCAAAGGATCCGCTGCATCCAGAGACGCAGCATAATCTTGTGTTGCTGCCTCTGTAGGAAAGACTGGCTTAGACGCTTTGGTGCCCGTCATGGTGATGAATGCTGTCAAATACAAATATAAATCAAGTATAAATCAAGTTGTATGATGGGAAGAGAACAAAGAGGTCGAAAATAGGGTTATTACCTTCTTATAAGAACCGAATCGGAGACCAAGGGACCTTCAAAGCAATGGGTAACACGGATATTGTTCCGCTTCCGTCCCCCCAATCCGTCTCCATATTAACAGCCTTATAACTGGCCTAATCGTTACATCATGACTTTTTTTTTTATTCTACGTAAATTATATAAATTACATATCTTCTCATAGGGCTATTATTTACTACCTGCATAATGCATAATCTATGGGCTATACACCAGCAAAGCAATCAGCTTTGATTAGCAACAGAACCAAGACTGTTTCAAGTCAAGTCTCAATCACAATCTCAAACCCAATAAGCATTTTCCTGTCTGAGTATTGGAAAACTAGTTTATCTTCCAAAAGATTTTTATATTGTTGAGACAAGTACGGAGTAGAAACTAAGCTAAGCCTACATATGTAAGGATCAACCTCGCATGGAACGTTAGCACGGAAGACGGATATAGATCCGGACGGGCTCCGGATTGTATAGATTCTTTGACTAAATGGCCCCGATACAAACCGATGCAGGGAGATATTGAAATAATGAGACCATAAAGTACTAAAACTACTATAAACCTAAACGCCTTTCCCTTTTGTCATTGTTATATATCACGCCAGGCGGTTCTCCTTCCCCGAACACTCCTACATCATTATCCAACCATGTTGCAATCAACAGATGCTGTTCTCAATGATCTTTTCGAAAGCTATGCCGAGCAAGGCTTTCTTCCAGATTCTCTTCCACTGGTCAGACTCTCAAATCCCTATTACGAGTCTTGGGAGGAGATAGCCAGCCAACTCCCGAACCTCATCCAAACGAGCCAGATCCGTGACAAAATCGATAATATGCCCGTCTACACGACTGAGCATCTTCAAACAGAACCAGAATGGCGACGTGCTTGTGTTATTATGGGATATTTCGCTCATGCCTATATCTGGGGAGGAGAGATCCCAAAAGACGTAAGTATCCCACCCTTTCCTTTCCATTCAAAGATTCCCTGACACCCAGACAACAGAGACTGCCCCCTTCGATCTCAAAGCCCTTCCTTGAAATATCAGCACACCTTGAACTCCCCGCCTGTGCCACCTATGCCGGCCTCACACTATGGAACTTCGTACCTTCCAACCCAGAAGCAGACATCACAGACCCGGACAACCTCCACGTTCAGACCTCCTTCACCGGCACAAAAGACGAGGAATGGTTCATGGTGATCTCCGTCGCCGTTGAAGCCAAAGGCACCAAGCTCATCTCACTGATGCGGGATGCTTTCAAGGCAGTTGCTGCCAACGACGTAGACCTGCTCACTGCGCTCCTGTGCAGGTTTGCCGACGGTTTATGCGACCTCACACTGACTCTGAAAAGAATGTACGAGCACAACAAGCCGGCTGTCTTCTTCCACCAGCTTCGGCCGTTCCTGGCTGGTAGCAAGAATATGGGCCATGCCGGTCTTCCCAATGGTGTGTACTATGATGTTGGTGATAGTGATGGGGTGGAAAGACCAGAGAATTGGCTCCAGTTGAGTGGTGGAAGCAATGCACAAAGCTCGCTCATCCAGGCACTTGATATTTTCCTTGGTATTAAACACTCTGCGACCGATGGGAAGCAGGCTGGTGGTCCGAGTTTTATTCAGGTAAGAACGTCACGGGATATTGGTCTTTAGAGCCTCCGTCTCTAGACACGCGTGAATAAGTATTAACACTAAAGGCAGCAAATGCGAGACTACATGCCTGGCCCGCATAGACGCTTCCTTGAAGCTCTGTCTGCTCGTTCCAATGTTCGTTTGTTCATACTCGACTCGCCGGTTCAACCGGTCAAGGATGCATACAACGCAGCTGTGAACGAGCTCAAGGCTTTCCGCGATGCACACATCCAGATGGTCACTCGATACATTGTCATGGCGTCGAGACAGCCTAATCCAATTGAACAGGCAAAAGGCAGAATGAATCTAGCCACGGCTAGCTCTCAGATGAAGGAAACAGGCGCGAAGACTAAGCTTGCCGGTACGGGTGGCACGGATTTGATACCCTTCCTAAAAAAAACCAGAGATACGGTTCAAGATGCGAAGTGCTAGGTATCCAGATGGATATGCGATGACTGAACGAAACTTGTGTGATATAGACTTGTGTTTTGATAGTGTAAATTGGTATTGGTTGCCACCAACCAGTATTATGATTCAAAATGACCTTCCTGAACTAAAAATCATATTACGGACTAACACAGGATACGTCCCAAAATCCGGAGGTACATCAACAGAGATAGGACTGCATCCTTGTGTGATTTCCCCTTTCCTGGGTGTGAACCCCTGATAACCTTGTTGCAACTTGGACGAATATGGTTTGAATGGGATCCCGGGTGCATCCCCGGGACCCGCTATGGCATGGTCTGCAATTCTGCACCTCGCGGTAACAAGAAAATGACCCATGTGAGTCCTAAGCACAACCCTGCGATGACACAGATATTCGAGCCTGTTGGTCGTAGCTGGCATATAACACAATAGTCGTGATGGATTGGGTGGAAACAGACGGGTCGGATCAGGTGGCCAGGCTATTATAGGAGGCGTAAAAACACGAACTTCGACTGTTCAGGGCAGTAGAGCCACTCAAGGAGGTCCCAGCACTGAAGAACCTTTGGACAGGGGTGGTGAGGGTTGTGGGCTAGGCACATGGTGACGGGGTGCTCAAAAGTCAACCACACGGCGGCGATGGCCTGGGTTCTTGGTTTACTAGAGTCTTGCGACACAATCACCGCTTCTTCGTGTTGGTGGGCACACCCTCACTCTCTCGCAGCTCGGCCAGATACTTCTCCCTCTCGATCAGGCGCTCCTTCTCTTCCCTGATCATCTGCTCAACTGTCTGAGTGGCCTCGGCCATGCGATCAAGCTCTTTCCTCTCGGTCATCCGACTGTATGGATTGCCGGGAGCATCACTCATTGGAATATCTGCTGTCCTGCCCTGTCCAATCTGCTTGGTATTCTTTCCCTTGCTCTTGCCAGGCTGACCACCAGCAAAGCCTCCGGTGAGGATCTCGTAGAACGGCTCAACAGGCTCATTGAAAATGATCTCTTCGTAGTTCTGGCTGATCACAGTTTCCCGACGTTCTTTCATCCCCTCCGCATCTGGGCCGTAAGGATGTAGCTTCAGACTATGCCACAGGGTCTGGGGCTTCTCATTTGATTCGGGCACAAAGTAGAGCTTGATCTGGATTTCAAATTCACCCCAGCCAGTTTCCGAAACTTCGAAGGGCGGCTGCTCGATCGAGCGCACATTGTGAGCGTATGTCTCATGGAGCTTGAATTGGACTTTCTTTAGCCAGTAGGAGATGTCCTCGCCGTTGATTCCCTTGACGAATATCTCCCACCTGTGGGTGTGGTCTGGAGGACAGTTCGGGGGCTTGTTCTCAGGATCGAAGGGGTGCGCTATACTGCCAAAGACTGTGTCTATTAGCTTGTGACTGTTGGGAATGATGCGCCCTTTGCGGACATACCAAATGGCCGGAACACCGAGACGCCCTGCGAGGCGTTAGTCTGATTTCGGTATTTCTCAGGGGCTGAAGCTTACCCTGACGCGCTTGTTTCCTGTTGCAGATGGCATCTTGTAAGTTGATTGTAGATTGTTGAACCAGATGGGAACGGATTGTCCAGAACAAGGGCGCAAGAAAGTCGCGGAAGAATGATAATCCGTCGGGGCTCAAGTGGCCCGACAAGATGGCAAACGATACCGAATGACGCTAACTTCAAAGTCCTGCAAGAGACAATTACCTTGAACTATCTAACTGTTCTACTTATTGAGGAGCTTGATTTTGACTTCCTTGACTCAGCTCTAAAGTCTCAATTGCTAAGCCTGGATTATCGTCCCGATACTTTAGTGACATCATTCCCTGGAGCTATTCCAAAGCTACAATTACAGCATGCAGACCAAAAGACTAGTCGTCGCTGGAGGAAGCGGCTTTTTAGGTTTGTAATTCCCATCCAGTACAGATTGTCAATATTATTTTACTGACTAGCTCTTTCAGGGTCCAGAATCTGTAAAGCCGCAACAGCAAGGGGATGGACAGTTACATCATTAAGGTAGCTTTCACGCCTATGTATAGATGGATCTACAAAAAAGCACAATACTGATCTCAGTCTAGCCGATCTGGTGAGCCCCGGTGGGAGACAGTCACCGATTCTCGGGAACGACCCAGCTGGGCAGGGTCCGTGGAATGGGCTAAGGCCGATATCCTCAAGCCAGAGAGCTACAAGTCACATTTGAATGGCGCCTCTGCTGTTGTCCACACAATGGGCATTCTCTTGGAAGCTGACTACAAGGGCGTTGTGCAAGGGAGAGAACCAATCTTCAGTGGCCTTCAACGAGCTTTTAGTACATCTAAGCTTGGAAGCCAGAACCCTCTAACAAGACAAGAGGGCGAGGCTTTGGAGCCTAAGGAGAAAGATGGGCAGCTGACCTATGAACTGATGAATCGAGATTCGGGTGCGTACAAGAGTTCTAAGGTCCGTTTCGAAAGCTAACACGTGTGTGATTTAGCAATTGCACTAGCCCAAGAGTCCACCAATGAGCACGTTCCGGCCTTCGTTTATATCTCTGCGGCGGCCGGGGCACCGCTTCTGCCGGCTAGGTACATCAGTACTAAAAGGGAAGCAGAGGCAACTATCACATCCACCCTCCCGAACCTACGAAGCATCTTCATACGCCCGGGCTTCATGTACGACTCGAGTCGGAAGTTCACGCTGCCAATTGCAATGGGTGGCTTTGTTGCCTCGGAGTTCAACACATTCCTCGGTAATAAGCTTGGGTTCCTCGGATCTATGGCCGAAAAGCCCCTCAAAGTCGATGTTGTGAGTGAAGCAGTGGTCGAAGCATTGGAGGATGAGTCCACCAAGGGTGCAGTCGGAACAAAACAGATTGAGGCACTTGCAACAAAAGCCTGGCGAAAGACGATGCTTTAGGCCTGCTGACTGATCAAGTGACTTGTATGTTTGTATAACAAAGTTTTTTTTGGCAGAGGGGGAAACGCGTGGAATCTCTGCTGGTTGATTGATGCCTTGTCCAAGTACAACTCGGAACTTCCACTCATGTAGAATATTGCAATCAATTTCACATTCAAATTAGATCATGGTACCACGTTCGAAGCTGTCCCGAATTTCGGTGGTGTACTAGAAAACTTTTAGCGAAACGACCACACATATATCCATCAATGGGACACTGACCTTGTTATAGAAGCGAGCGAGTTTCTGGTTGAACTGCCTGTTCTTCTCGTTGATGTATGTCACATCCGCATCATCATCGCCACCACGGCGCTCCTTGCGTTTCTTCAGGCGCACCTCCTCTGCCTTTTGGATATCGTTGACCAGTCTGTCAACAGCAGCCCGATCAGGTTTGCTATCAGTAAAGCCAGTCGAGTCCGCAGTGGAATAAAAGCTACCGTTCTTGTCGATTGCAATCATTTCACCGTCCTCAGTCTCCACAATCTCGAGATCGCCGTTGGCCGCAGCTCTCTCGATCGCGGCAAGCTTGTCTTTCTCGTAGGATTCCAAGTTCGGCGCCATTTCTCTCAGCTGTCTCTTGTAAATCTTCCGGGCATCTTGGGTGTAGTCCTGGAAAGCCACGTCATCTCGGTGACGTTGCTTCTTCTCCATGCGCCTATCCCACTTCTCCGATTCTTCCACTGTCCAGTCCCATGCGCGCTTGCGTTCAAAATCTTCTCCGTCGGCTTCCGTGTCCGCTTTGAGGAGGTTATGAGAGGCGAATGCATGCTTGCGAGACAACGTATTTAGCAGGGCGGGGTCGGTGGTCAGACGCTGGGATTCGGCTGCAGTCTCTTTTAAGTTGCGCTCCGTTGCAGATTTCTATATTTTGTGTTAGCTATGTGAGGGGGTTGGACGGTCAAGCCTGTTGATCCGCGTAAGTCATTTTTGAGGAATACTTACAGCTCGAGCCTGCAGGGCTTTGAACCTATTCATTCTCTCACGCGCTTTGAATGCACCGTCATCCTTTGCGTCATCTGGTTGGGTTTCAGCCTTGTTTTCGGATGTTGCGATAGGCGATTCGCTCTTGTTCTCGGTCGGTTGCTCAATGGACTGTTCTTGGCCCGCCTCGTCCTTTGCGGACTTATCCGCATTTCTGGTCCGAACCATAGTTTCTTTGGGTTGATCAATAGATCACCAGCATCTATGGATAAAAGGCGGTCGCTGTTTTGTTGGCAGCCAAGTTGATGAGAAATGGAAGCTGGTTGAAGATGAAATAAAAGCGCGAATGCGGTCCAATACCGCCTTTTTCCACCGCCCCTATTCTGCTGGTAAAACCCCAGACTTAGCCCCCTTATCGGCCCGTGTTTATCTTCTCCACATCTTCTCAGATCAGCTTCACTCTAGTTCCAAGACATGGGAGGACCGTACACTCGGTTGCTTCTGCTGCAACCAAGACGACGGTTTACAACTAGAAATGTGTTTACACAGCAATCGGTGCGCAGCCTCTATCCCGCAAAAACGAAACTACTACCCCGTGACCCATCACCGTCTGAACTGCTTCGATTCGCCTTAAGGGATTCAACTGAGCCAATTCATGACTCAAATGCTAATGACGTCTTATCTGGGTATCTCCGTGAACTCTTTGTCCCCGAATGGAAGTTTAACACTCCACCTCCCCCGTTGTGGACCTCCCTCAAAGGGCTTACCTCGCGGAACCAAGGGCTATTGGAGGCTGCCAATAGCGAGATGACCGATGTCTCATCATTGCGGAGTTTAATTGAGAGATATGTCAACGACAGACATGGAGCGGAGCTTTTGCAAGATCAGAATTGTTTACCACTGAATCACGCTTTGCAAAGCTGTCAACGGAGAAATACATTGGCAGAAATCCTGTCGGTGCTAAGTGACTTGTGTGCAAGACTGAAGCGTTTCCAGTTTCCTATCCAGCCTGAGGTGTACTCTACAGCGTTATATTTTGCATCTCTCGATCTATCAGCTTCATATCTGAAGCACTTCTTGAATGGCCACCACCACATGGGCTTTCCAGCTCTAGGTCCCGAGGATAGTTTGCAGATAGTCCAATATTGCTCTGAAGCACTTGACTGCAAATCTTTTGAGGATCCATACTATGACCTCAGTCCTATCATTTCTGGGATCACAGGAGAAGGAGAACTCGTGCCTCAAAATCACAATTTGCATGATATCTTGTTCTGGACGCAATCCGCTGATCAAATTGGCAAACGATTCGACTTCGGAGCCAAGGCCCATGAGTATATATGTCTACTTGCTAGGCTTGGGGATGATGAGGTGCTTCACAGGTGCTGGTCTTATTTCTTGAAGAACATTCAGCCTAGAAACTATCAAAGCTGCATCGCTGCCTATCAGGTAGTGCTGGCTCTAGTCCAAAATGTTCGGTCCCAAACAGCAGTGAGATGGTTGGAAGATATCTCTCAACATTGTGGTGATAACTTGCCTTTCATTGCGAAATTCCCAAATCTTCGATTCCTCATTAACGACCCTATTGTGGGTGAGGCACTACCTGACCTAGTGAGAGGAGAGGACTACCTTGAGCTACTCCAAGTTTACCTTGATGACCTGGATCAAAGGATGGGTGTTCAATGGAGCCCTGAAAGTCAAAGCCATTTCAGTACCGCCTTAGACCCGTCAGAATCAATCTGGGAAGCATTTGAGGACCACATTTTGCCCAAAATCAGTAACAAAGCCATTGGCTCTGATCATGGAGGACAGCTGTGCGCAGAGCTTCGCGTTCATGGCTGCTCTAAGTCTCCGACTGCACTGAGTAGGATCACGGATCTATTGAATGACCACGACGGACAGTCCCAAAAGATTGTCACTTGGCTCGATTACGAACCGGCACGACTTGACGAATTTCGCTCTAAGTTCGGATTGCTCGAATTCCGGTGGGTACCAGCACACTCACCGATAGAATTTTCTAACTCGCAAATTCCGGCACTGCGTGATTCCTCTGAGCCTATGACCCCATCTACCCTAGGCCTTATTCGAGCTCGTTTGATCATTCATGGAGTTCCTCAAATGGGGATCGACAATTTACATTTAATGCAACTTGGCTGCATGGATATGCGGTATGGTCCGGACCAACCATGGCAGCCATCCGGATATATTGTGGTCTGGGACCGTCATTTCGGGCAACTCCTCGGGCTTTACGTTGGGCAGAACACCGGGGTCATTGACTGTGGATCAGCGCCTTCGGATGGCCCTCTTGGTGCCTTGATGCATCTCACGATTTCAACCAATGATGAGCGAACGATTTATCCTAGTGGTATACGCCCTCATTCTCGAAACTGCTGGGGACCTTACTATCTGGATGTAGATCCAAGTGCAGATCTAGAGTATTGAATAGTTTCCCTACAGTGTGAAAGACCCATAAAATCATGAAACTGTCATTTGGAGAGAATCATGGATGTTGATATAGACTGAGCGGTGATGTGCTTCGGCAGAATCTAGATGTACAATGTAGTCATCCTTTTCGGCTACTTTTCCATCTCCAGTATTACTCTATCCCCAATACAACACACATACGCGAGAGCTTTACGATATTCTGTTTCGTCTCGAATCCCACGAGGATGTCCCCATCAATCTACGACTGCCAATCAGCAGTTTTGATGACAGTTGACTTGGATACTAATCCCAGCTCGGCTCTCAGTGTCGGCGATGTCATCAAGTGGCACGCTCTAAGATTGATTTTCGTCCACAAAATGGGTAGTCAAGCCACCCACGCCATTTGCCGTCGGGATCGTCGGATGGGAAACGCCACCCATTTGATATCGAAGCCTTCGTGATCATATGCATGGCTAAGCATGGTGTTTGACAGAATATCCTAACCGGCTGTACGACGACGAACACATGGAGATCTGGATTATATTGCAACACACAGGCAACCGCAGCTCTACAAGGTTCTCAAGGCAATCTCGTTATTGGGAACTGGAGATCTACAATGAACGTAGCCACACTTCTGATCATACCGAAAAACATTGACTGTGGGTCCTCTATCACAATTCAATTCTCATCAAGAATTGCAGTGAGGTCATTGTGATCTGCGTCTATAACGTCGCAGAACTAGCGTGAAAGCTCACGGGATCCGAGTCCCTACATCTGCCGAGGTTTAGAGCTCAAACGGTTGACTCCACCTGCATTTGGCATTTTTCAGTTTGAACAATTCCAGTCCGGTTATTGGACAGGCTAATTCTTCCAGTATTAGGCCTCGCACGTTCCAAGCTTCAAGATCGGTAAACATACAATATACAGTCTCAGTTCCAGGAAGCAAGATCTCTCGCGCTTGGGCCCATTTTCTTGGTTTGCCTTCGCCAAAATAGCTCTGACAGGAGATCCCTCAAAAAGTCTACTCGGAAACCCTAAGAGGAAACAGGAAATATCTTTCGAAAAGCTATGTGGTAAATTTCCCAAGTGCCAAGCATAGGCTCTTGAAAAGATTCAATATTCCGTCTGGAGATCTGAGATTTAGATATCCTGGTTCGCAAAAAGGCATTCTTATTTTTGGCCCCATTCACACTGTCCCGATAGGTCAAAAATAGACCTGTACGGGGAGATACTTCAAAAAAAAAAAAAAAAAAAGCTTCCTGCAGTTCCACAATGGCTTCCACTCATATTCGATTGTCTCTGACCGTCTTTCGAGAGATCATTCAGGAACAAAGTCCCCATGGTATCAAGACACAGCCCCCCCCCCAATGTCCAGCATCCACTCCATTCTCGTGGCAAAACCCGCTCGGCCCGTTCCCTGTTCCCTTTCTCGTTCATCGGTGGATACGCTAATCGGTATTTCTACTGAAAGAAAAAAAAAAGTATTGATGCCATTCCCACTTCTCTATCATATTCCAGCTCTCAGATGATTGGATAGGGGAAATCGGACAGGGGTGTTTTGAATTTTGCTGTGGGTTTTTTTTTTTTTTCCTTTTTTCCCCGGTTCCTGAGCAAGGCGAAATCCCTCCGAGGGAAGTATAGCTATTTTACAGGATCATACCGAAGTGGTGTGATGAGGTCTTGCTATTAACTTCACATGATTATCAGATACCTTTATTGAGATATGCATTCTTGCTGTGTTCTTCTCTTTCCCATTCCCTATATAATCTTACGACATTTCTGATCGTGACTATCTGACCGCTGCATCGGTCTTCAATGTCTCATCTAGAACCAACCAGAATACGGCTAAAATATAACTGCGCTTGTGCAAGCCTCCGAATATATGTCGAGGCCACCGCCACAGCAATGTGGAAATTCCACACCGGAATGGCCATATATCGATTCGATCCCCCGCACTCAACACCGCGGCCCGATATCCATGCCATATCCGTACCGACATGAGCCTCGACAGGTCCTACCCCAGACGGGCTATGAGTATCCTATGCTTGGAGCACCCCTTGCTTCGAGGATTCCCGCCTTGGTTCCTCCCGAGAGAAGCACAGATCCCCGATATATGCTCTCGTCCGACAATGCCTACATGAATACACAACCTGTGCCGCAAGCACTCCCGCTACGATCCTATCAACCGGGAAGAGCTGATGTCCGTACCTCATACGAAGAGAAAACATACCCAACGTCGAGCCATGCCCGTGACTATGATAGTCACCGGAGCTGGACATACGACGTGGAGTCCCAGTAAAGTCCCTCTCTTTTCGTTTCTGTCGATTGAACCTCTATCTGTCAGTGGCCCGTCCTGATGCGATGTCTTTGGCTGGAGATTTCGAACACAATCCCTCTCATGTCACATCTGTGCTAGGTTACACAACGCAGGGAGACATTTGAACAAGATCACATTCTGACTACGAAATCTATATAGACACAGCAGCAGTTCCACAGCCATGCCCAGCCCCGTCTGGTCGGAAAAAAGCGCTGCCACCCACGCATTCAATCATATTCTAACCAGCACTCACCAAGACCCGAAACCATACCGAAACGCGAACTACAGAATGCCGCACGGCTTCGACAGACTCCTCCACCCCGAACCAGAGCCAGAATCACCCCCTCCACCACCCAGACGACCATCTACCCAATCCCGATACCATCTACACATCCGACAACAGCCCATCGCGGCACGAGCCTGCGGCGCAGGCGACAGAGACCGTCGCCCCGTTGACCCACCCCCAATCGTGCAGATCCTCCTCACCGACTTCGACTCCAACTCACCAGAAGACCGAGATCTCCTCCAAGACCCCCGCTTCACGGTGGGCTGTCTACTGTTCCCCGTCTCGCCCTCTTTACCATGGGCCGAACCAACAGACACACATGCGCGCGAGCGCGAGCAGGACCAAGATCAAGACCGGGACCGAAATTGCGATAGAGAAAGAGAAACAGACGGCATCGCCCGCACAGACGATAACTTCTCAACCCCATTACTATCCGGCAAAGCCTTCATGTCCCCCTTCTACGTCGACGCCGACCCAGACCCCAACTCCGCTCCCGCACATCCATCCTCCGTAACTGATCCCAATCTCTCCAACCCCCCGTACAACGTCTACAACCACGCCGCCTCGCGCCTCCACCAACCAGCTACCTTTTTTCATCTTTGCGGATCTTTCGATCCGCTCGGCGGGCTTATATAGGCTCCAGTTCCGATTGATGAATTGGGGCTCTGTTGAGGATACGGGGCAGTCAATGCCGATTCTTGCGGAGGCGTGGTCTGATCCGTTCCGTGTGTATCCTGCGAAAGATTTTCCTGGGATGAGGGATTCGTCAATTCTCGCGGAGGGGTTGAAGGAGCTTGGGTTTGTGGAGTTGAAGACGAGGGGACATGGGAAGGGGAAGGGGAAGAAGCGGCGGTGATTGGGGTTCTTGTGTTTTTTGGGGGTTCTTTTCTCTTCTGTTGTGTTGATATTATCATCCTTCGAATATCTTGGATTGTTGGTTTGGAGTCTGTGGATGGCTTTGTCTCTCGGGTTTGGCATGAGGAAAGGAAAATTGGATTCGGGGATGAAACAGGGATGGCGTTTGATTCTTTTCTTCAAATCATAACGACAGTTTTGATCTTTTGCTTTCTCTTTTTTTGTGTCAGTTCGGCATGGAATATGAGGCGAGATGAGACATGAATGCTTGGGAGCGGGGAATATATAGAAGAAAAGGTATCAAGGCCTCAAAATGATACATTGCTATAATACATAGCGGTATACAGGCAAAAGGCATGTACAGGAGAGATATAAATACAACAGTGGAACAGCTCTAAACCACAGCTCTAAACCACTTAAGTAAGCCTCAAGAGCTTAGGAGGTAGACCAGGGTTGAATGTCCGATCTTCCCATTTATCCCTCATCTCCACCAGGCTTTTCCTCGACAACGAGGTTGGAAGACCCATTTTAGCAGTAAGCTTGTACATCTCACGGCTCTTCTCCATATCGCCATCCTCGCGTAAGAGCATGGCCAGGATATACCCAGCCTCGTTGTTTCCCTTATCAAACGCAAGCTCGTACCAGTCCATCGCGAGCATGCGGTATGTCTTCCGGTCCATAGGTTGGTTGAACATCGTGTAGACCCAATTTGCTATGGGCTCGAATGGTCTCAGCCAAGCACTGCGCGCGGCATTGGCCTCTTCCCTATCCTTGGCGCTTCTCTCTGCTTCAGTGGTAAATTCACCTTGGGAGATACGGTAATAGAGATTGGCAAGGTAAAAGCAGGCTGGAGTATGTCCCAATAATGCAGCGGCGGCCACGTACGTCTCGTACGTCTCGTATTTGTCAGGAGCCTCCGTTTCCAACAAGGTGACGGCGTAGTCAGTCATGGCGACTGGGTCGTGGAATTCCAAGGCGGCTCGACGCGTGGCACTCTGGATACCCTCAAGACCCCGTTCCTGCTCAACGGCAACAGCGTACATCCGCCAGGGCGAATCAAAGCTATCCAATAACATGATATCCTCCCAGTGGGGAGGGCGTATCCTAGTGGGTTGCAGATATGGTAGAATCTTCTGCTCCAGAAGCCGGGCGGCTTGTGTTTTTTCACCGCGCCAGATAAGCAGTTTGGCATATAGCATAATCGCATGAGGGAATTCGTCTTTGAGGGCCAAATCTCTGACCCGCGCTATGCACTCGTTGTCTCGGTAAATGTCCACATTTTTTGTTTCCATATACCGGCTCACGAGGTCGACCATGGCTCGGCGCGAATTTGCTTTTGCGCAGGAGGTCAACGTCCATTGATAGATGTAGCGGCCCGTTTGAAGCTCTCCAAGAACCAACGAGATTCGATAAACGGCGTCGACATCTATAACAAAATGTACGGTTAGTATCACGAAGTGTAATCAGTAGCCTTTCACTATATACTATTTTGAAAGCTGAACTTACCTACTGAGATACTCCGAACAAGACTCGCGGAAGGGAGCTGCGAGTGCGATAGCCTAATCAACTGTTCACCCACGGACGCGAACGTCGCCAGGTTGACACCCGGCGGTATGATGCGACTAGAACGCTCATACAATTGGCGTGTGAATTGCTTAAACTCAGCCAGTGTTGGTTCAACATGTTTACCACAAAAAGCATTCCAAAACCCGTCACGGTCCAATTTTAATCCACCTGGGCCTTCGAAGACATTCTCAAATTGTCCGTTCGTCGGTTGTTTTCGAACAGATGGTGCTTTGCGAGAAGGCCGGATAGCTGATCGAGTTTGGGTGGTGTGGAAGGGCCGTTTCAATGTAGTTGTGTTGCTATTGGTGACAACTCGAGTGCAAGCTTGCGCGCCGTGTCGCAAGTGGGCTTTGTGGGAGAGAGCTTGATGTAATTGACGCCATTGCAACGGCAAAATCAATGGTCTGGCCATTGAAAATAGTGCGGATAGGAAATGGTGGTGGGTGAGGGGGGATAGGTTTTCTCTGGTTGAAGTTCTGGAGATCGGGAACTTTACCGCAAAGCTGCTCCAACGTTCAGATATACCAATAGCTTAACTATACATTATTAAAAAGATATTTACAGATTTTAAAAGCAATAGTATAGCATCGATATGCTAAATGCATCAATTAACCAAACGAGCCCTCTGTACCAGACGGTCTCAGAACACAATGCGTATAATGTACATTTTGCCTTGATCTGCCAGGCCAAACACAATAAATGCTCAACAAGATCTCTCAGCAAAAAACCAAAGAGGAAAAAAGAAAAAGAGAGAAAAAGACCCCAGAACAACAACATCTTCCCCGACTCTCTTCCCAATCTATCCCCTCCCCGTGCTTAAATAATAAACAGCTTTTACTCCATAGTCACCTTGGCACCGAGCGCCTTGAAGGTCTCGATGAGCTTCTCCGCCTCCTCCTTGGGCACAGACTCCTTTAGAACCTTGGGTGCGGACTCGACAAACTTCTTGCTGTCCACCAGCGACAGGCCGAGCATGGTCTTGATCTCCTTGATGACCTTGGGCTTGGAGGTAGGCTCGAAAGAGTCGAGCTTCAGGTTGAAGAGTGTCTTCTCGGCCGCAGCGGGAGCAGCCTCCTCCTCCTCAACGGCAGCAGCCGCACCGGGGGCACCACCGGCGGCCATGGCGAAGCCGCCAACGGGAAGGTCGGGGATATTCAGGCGGGTCTGTGAAAACGTTTTGATTAGCCATGGTTCGTATAGATACCTCAATTGAATAGAGTGACGATGTAAATGGAGAAGTATATGCAGGGACGCATGTCCTGTTTGGAATTCCATCGATTATGTGTAGATTATCAAACCCACCTTCAAGCTAGACACCAGGTCGGCAGTCTCGAGCAGCGTCAATGTGCTGATCTGGTCGACAATCTGGGAGATCTTGGGGTTGGTAGCAGCAGCAGGGGCTGCCTGGGTGGATTCGCATCGCCGGCTGCTGGGTGTGCGACGGGCTGTGAGGTATGTAGCGGAGGTCGCGATGCGCAGGGAGGACGGGCGGACGGTGCCGGAGAGCTGTCTGGCGCAGCGGGCTGCGGCCTGGGTGGAGAAAGACATGGCGGAGGTGAGAAGAGGCGGGAAGCTCGAGAGAAAGGGAAATTGGAGAAAAGTGGTGGGGATTGGGATCGCGGCTCGTTGATATCAAGACCGAAAGGAAACACTCGAGGAAAATCTGGGAGTGACACGTGATTTATAATGCCTCAGGCACATTTATCCTATCGTTAACTATCAGGCAAACATCTGTGGACGGCCGAAGCATCAAAACGTATGATTAGCTCAATTCTGATATCCTTATGAATTCTGCTATTGTAAAAGATATTTCCTGTATGTATATACGAAGAGAGCAAAGGAAAAAGTACTGGAAGAGAAAGGTAGTCCAATTTACAATGGTTCTCAAAAAGCATATCATCGTACTAAGATCTATCAGGCCTCATATTATCAAACAGCATCCAGACCCTCATTGCTCCTTTTTTTAGAAAAAAATTTAGTCCTGGTCCCAATCGCCTCCACCCTGCGGTGGCTTGGGGCCTCCCGCCTGTCTCGAGACGATGATCTGGTCGACGCTCAGTACCGTCCGGGCAGACTCACTGGCCAAACGGATAGCAGACATCTTCGTGGCCATAAGATCTAGAATACCCTCCTCGACAGTGTCCAGGGTGCCGTCGGAGTTGCCAATCTCAAGGTCCACACCTGTAGTCCAGTATGGTTCCTCCTCTTCAGACGAGCTGCCCTCCTCCTCATCCTCCTCGGAAGATGACTCACCAGCAGCAGTGGTGCGGTGGTGTGCGGTGTACAGACGCGAGAGAACCTCGGTGGCATCGAGACCGGCAGACTCGGCGAGTGTGCGGGGGACGACCTCGAAGGCCTCGGCGAACTTGCGGATGGCGTACTGGGGCAGACCGGGGGTTCGGTCGGCGAAGTTGGAGATGCGCTCAACGAGCTGGATTTCAGTGGCACCGGCACCGGGCACGAGACGGGGGTCCTTGGTGATGGCCTTGACAACGTTGACGCCGTCATCGATGGCACGCTCGACGTCCTCCAGGTGGTTCTGGGTGGCACCGCGCAGGACAATGGTTGCTGTGCGGGTGATGGCGTTGGCATCCTCCTGGCGGAAGACGGTCACTCGGTCACCGCCAATCTCGGTCGTCTCGACAATGTCGATCTGGCCCATCTCATCGGGCATGGGGGCACCCAGGCGAGCCAGAGGTGTGGCACCGACAACGCGGCACAGGCGACGGAGCTCGAACTTGGACAGAATCTTAATGACGAGGATATTGAAACGGTTGAGGTAGTGCATGGCCAAGTCGCCAACAGTGGAGCCGGCAACGACCACACGGAGACCGGAGTCGTAGAGCTCCTTAATGGCAGTCTCCAGACGATCCTCCTCGCCCGCGGTGAAGTCCATCATCTCCTTGGCGTTCTTGAGGAGAACTGTGCCCTTGGTCTCGGTCTGGCTAATATCGATGGGACAACTGAAAACGCCGACCTTGGCCCTGCTGGCCTTCTTGATAATTCCATCGGGCTCCCGGGGGAAGACCATACCCTTCACCACCTTCGACTGTTCCAAGCTACCACCCATAATCTTAACGACTCGCACATTGTCAACGTTGAAGTTGACGGGGTTCTTGGGCAACACAGCCAGAACCGCCTCCGCAACCAACGCAGCCAAAGTATCCTCCGTGCCGGACTGCTTAGAGGCCACCACTGTGCGGAGAGCCTTGCTCAATTCTGTTGCCGATCGCATATCCTGGAGTCTGTCGACCTCGAGCTCTAGACGGAATCAGAAACATTCCCTTATTTGTATATCGACAAACCAATAATGGGAGGGGAAAACATACCCTCTAGAACTGACAAGGCAAAGTTCTGAGCCTTCTCGTATCCGGAAACAATATCACTCGTCTTGAGACCCATACGGATCAACTCCTCTGCCTTCTTCAACAATTCACCGGCCAACACAATAACCAAGTTGGTACCATCGCCCATCTCCGCATCCTGCTGCTGACTTGCCATAACAAGCAGCTTAGCAGCGGGGTGAACAACATCCAACTCACGAAGTATTGTAGCCGCGTCGGAGGTCAGAATCATCTTTTGCAGGTGGTTGATGACGATCTTGTTGCGGCCATAGGGGCCCAGGGAGGTCTGGACGGTGCCCGAGATAGCCTGGCAGGCTTCGATGTTACGGATAACGGCTCCATCTTCGGCATCGTGGCTACACAGCAAAAAACACAGATCAGTCAATCGTTTCGCTTCTTTTTGGAGGGGCGCCAGATAAGGAGGTCCCTATTGCAGTGGGTTTTCGGGCTTCCCGACTTTTCGAACTCACCTCTGGTACCCGGGCTTGAAGAGCCCCGCCTGGGAGGGACCGGGAATTGATAGGGACATGATATTAGGTCGCGTCTGAGGGAGATGCGACTGGATATCAAATGGGTTAAATGTGAGGGAGTGGATGGAGCTGTTGTGCCAGGCAATTTTTGGAGCTGCGGTGGTGGGTTTGCTCGGTTTGCACGAGCGGGGAGCCCGCCAGTTGCTTGGCGTTCACTATAGATCAGCGACATTACAATCTCGAATTCTTCAATTTATATTTCATGCAGTCTGTAATAAGAGCTGCTTTGTTTATTAATACATTGGCTAATGTTATTATACAGTTATCATCGATGCACTACTGACTTGGATGCTCTGTTGATCATCTCAAATACGAGACGTGCGAATTATAAGCAGTTTGGAAACCAGGCACTAGAGAAGTTAGCAATTTAGTATATAGAACAAAGAAACAACATTCTTACTGTAATCTTTGATAGAGCTGCACCCATTCTCATCGTAGATGGCTTCAGCTTTGTCGAGCCTATGTTGAATTAGTAACAAATAATTCAATGCAGGGGAAATGGTCATACCATCCTTGAATGGCTTCCATTCGGTTGTAACTCTACTAGAGGTTAGTCACGGTTCCTCTATAACTTTTCTCTTGGCCTACCGATGGGTGGGTGGACATGAACTGCGGAGGAGCCTCTTTCTCCTGTTCATACATGCGAGCCCATCTAGCAATCATCAGCAAAATCCAAGACGCTGACACACACACTATCAGATGGACTTACAGTTTGACGGCAGCCTCGGGGTTGAAACAGGCTTTAGACATCATCACTGGGCACAATCGTTAGCGGTATAATGGCAAGTTGATCCTTAACTTCAAGGGTTCATACTTAGTCCGATCTTGTCTGCTTCAGCCTGCAGATAGAAATTAGCCAAGTGACCATATTGTAAAAATCAAAGACCGACCATACCTCTTGTGTCCGCGAATTCGGCAAGCTGTACATAAGATTCAAAAGAAAAGAAGAGAACTGCCCGGAGACATCGAACAAGAAAGAGATAGCGAATACAGCTCCCAGCGTAATGAAACTAGTGCTCATACGCTCTGCAGGATGGTGAGCCACAACATGAGCAATCTCATGTCCCAGCACAGCAGCCAAGCCATCCTCGTCTTTGCAAATGGGCAAGATACCCGTGTAGACAAATACCTTTCCCCTAAGTGAAGCAAAACAATGTCAGCCATGTCCATATCTGCAGAAACCAAACACCCAACACCGCAGACCCGGTAAAACCTACCCGGGAAGCACAAAAGCATTAAGCATTTCATCATCCTTGATAACATGAACCTTCCAATCGGCGCCCTCGATAGGCGCCTGCGGGACCAACCGTTGCAGCACACCATCCACCATGCGAGTAAGATGATGGTTATGGGGCAGGACCTTGCCACGCTCGGCAATGAGGACCTCGCGGTAACTTTCGTCGCCCATTTTTAGCTCCTGGTGACGAGAAACACAGTTGAACCGTCGTCGACCGGTCATCTCTACTATCTCCGTGTTGTATAGATAAAGTCCGGATATCCCCACGCCAATCGCAACAAAGTGGTGCGGTTTCGCATTCTGCACTAAGCGGTAGACGATAGGTCGGCGGGCGCTGCCTTGAAATCGGTTGTATTGGTTCTGTCTTTGCTGATAGGGGGATTGGTGGCTCGAGAAAAACGTGCGCCGGTTCTTCGGGGAAGGTGTGTGGAGTGGGAGTTGTGAGCGAGGTTGGAGTTGTCGCAGGGGCGCGATCCGAGAGCGCAGAGAGGTAGCCCAGCGAGGAGATCCTGAGGTATTGTATGAGCGCGACATTTGAGCTGCTAGTGAGGGGGCCTTATGGATGGATGGTTTCGGTGATAAGAAAGGGTATGCCGGTGCGCATGCGCGAAAAGCGCGCGCCATAGATTGACGGAGCATGGTTGAGAGCTTTCTAGCTCTTTATGTAAGTTGTATAATATATGCAAAGGTTGACAAGAAGGAAATTGGAGAATCTACAATGACCTAGTTGAACCCGGGGAAGTTGCAAGTCGAAGATCTGAGCCGATAAGCAGCCACGTTCCCCATCGTGACATCCTAAGAGCAACGTCATGTCTCCAAAGTCCCCACTCTATCGCCTGTGAGGATTATCTTACCTGGGTTTCTTGTTCGAATTAGATCTCTTGAATACATAGTTGACCGTTCCTCTAGGGACCACAAATTTCATACATACTCAAGTCAGCCAATCCTAATATTTGGAAAAGAACAGTTTCGACGTGAATACATACTAATCCAAGGCAACTAATAGGTTCAGATAAACTATGCAAGGCTGTGTAGAAAAATAAAAGCAAGTCAGGTAAATCGTCATATGTTCAAACAAGTAAAACAAAAAACCAACAGAACCCCATCCCACCCGCGCACCATAACCGAGACCGTCAGAGCAATTACATAGAAACAGAGATGTTATGTCCAAATACGGCATAAATCCAACTGGAGCAGAAACACATCAAGAACGAAACCCCTGGTATCATGTTGCGTAGTCATGGGAACAAAGTGGTATCATAGGGATGGCAAAAGAAATCGCAAAGGGGAAAAGAAAAAAGAAATTGGAGAAATAACACGTCGACTCGGAAGGTAAAAGTTGGGAATAGGAGACAATGGAAAGCGTTTCAAAAATCAAGGATGAGAGGGAGAAAAATACATGCTGAGTTGCAGAGAGTTGACTCCCTACTCCTCGGT